CGAGGAGAGTCCGAGGTGGGGCCGGGCGGGGCACGGGTTGGGGGCGCAGGTCTGTAGGGACCAGATGACGCGGTCCCTGAGGGAGGGCTGGAGCGCCACTCACGTGCACAGGCAGCTTCTCGTGGCCCCCAGACCCCGAGCGACCCCAGCGGGCGCCGCTCAGCCCCCGGCCCGCGGGGCCGCCTCCGCCGCCAGCGTGCGCCATGTTGGAAGTCGGAGCCCTAGTCCGCCCCGCCCCCGCCCGCGGGCAGGGCGCGCATGCGCCGGCTCCGCCCTGGGGGCGCGGCCTCATGATGTCAGGGAGGGCGGGGCTCCTTACGGTCTTGATGTATTAGCGCTTAGTCCTGGAGATGATGTACATACAGCACCAAGTAATAATACCTTTTATAGCACTAATGGGTAAACCAAGTCCTGCCGCCTGCTTTTTCCCGACTTCACAAGCAAGTTTAGAATGGTTTTTAAATTTTGTAAAAGTTGGGAAAAGTCCAAAGGAGAAGACATGTGACATGTGAAAATTCTGAAATTAAAATTTCAATGTCTGTAAAATAAAGTTTTATTGGAACGAAAGCCCACCCTTTACCCATCATCTCTGGCTGCTTTTGTGCGACAGCAGCAGGTTGGTTAGGTGAGACAGACCCTGAGGTTTGCAGAGCCTGATAGATTTACTAAAAAAATGTTGGTGGAAACCTGCATTCTAGGGCTGATGTGACAATGTGACACAGCAGCCTAATACAGGGCCCTATGTGGTGAATTTTTGACCCTCTCCTCTTACCTTCACCTCTCTAGTCCTGACCCCATCACTTCCCCACTGGACCAGGTCAGTAGCCATTTAACTGGTTTTTCCAGCCTCCGTGCTATCAAGAATGGGGAGAATTCCATAGATGCTTCCAAGTCTCCAAAATCTTCCTCGGCCTTGCGCGTGCGTGCGTGCGTGTGTATGTGTGTGTTGAAATCTAAGCATCTACACGCCGCATCGGAGGCTATCAGAGCCTGGCCCTTACGAACCTTTTCTTGCAGAATTTTCCACCCAACCTCTATCTGTGTATAACCTCCTGTCAACGCCTGCCTAGCGTGGCTGCTTCCTGGCCGCATGCACTGGCACATTCCATTTCCCATGCCAGAAACGATGTTCCATCTCTTCATTACCCAGAAAACACCTGTGCATCCTTCAAAACACAACCAAATTGACCCCTCCTCTGCGGTACTTCATCACAAATTCCTGATGCAGAGCCACATCAGTGAGCATTTATGAAATGAATGAGCGTTCAATCGCTGACCAAATGACATCTCTTTTTATACATAAATAGGTGCCGGGAAGCTGAGAATACATTGACAATGAGTGCATCATTTACCAGACACTGTGCTATGTGTCAGGGACAGAATAGTGAACAAAACTGACAAGGCTTTTGCCCTCCTAGAGCTTTTAGTTTTTCAAGAAGAATAGGAATCAAATAATCTCACACACACGTAAAGTTTCAACTATAACATACTTCAAAGAGAAGGTACAAATGTAACAGTTTCCTATGTTCCAGTTCCTGTGACTGTGTAACAACCCCCCCCCCCCCCGACAACCGCCAAGAGTTAGAGACTTAGGCTGACAACACTTATTTTGTTCTCCAATATGCTATTTGGGCAGGGTTGGCAGAAGTAGCTCATCCATGGCCCCTTGGTGTCAGGTGGGTAGCTGGAAGGCGGGAGCTGGAATCCTTTGACGGTTTACTCACTCGTACCTGTCAGTTGCTACTGGCTGTAGGCTGAGACTCGTGCTGGGGCTGCTATCAGGAGCACCTACATGTGGCCTCTCCAAGCAGACCGAGCTCTCTCATATGGCAGCTGGTGGGATGACTTAGGAATTCTGGTCTTGGCATTTCACGCTGGTGGAAATTGCACATGTGTTTTATGCAAGGAGGTGCTTGAGCAGCTTTGAATTTGGAAGCACACTGCTCTGGCTGCTCTATGGGGAAGTGATTGGAGGGGATCCAGAGGTGAGTGCAGGGAGGGTGTTTCATCCTTTAGGCAAAGGACAGTGGTGGCTTAGACCAGGATGGAAGCAGTGAAGTTGGGGGCAGGGCACAGAAGTGATATTTAGAAGGTAAAACAGAGAGGATATGATGTTGGGTAGAAGTCAGGGTGAGTGCACCGGAAACAGTGAGGATTCATGGCTCCCAGCCCAGAAAAGAATTCTGCACAGTTTCAGCACATTCCTGTAGGAACAAGCAGCTAAGGCAGACTGAGGCCACCAGATGTCTGGACAGTCCTTTTCACACCAATGGCCAACAATTTATTAGTCACTGTCCCTGAGAACCAACAGCATATATAGGCTTCTGACACGACAGAGTCCTCATACAATACCCCTGTCTCCAAGGAGTGTGATTCTATTCAAATGTTAAGGATCACTTTTAGTTTTCTATTCTTTTCGTAGATTTTATGGTCAGAGGAAGCCCTCACTCATTTGGAGTACAGGCAACCACAGGCCAATCCCAACTTAGGGGTGTGAACATGTGCATGTGCATGCATCCTTCAGAACTCAGCTAGAATGCTACCTCCTCCAAGAAGCCTTCCTCAACTGCTGCTGGACTGGGTAAAGTGCCTGGGTGGCAGGAGGTATTTTCCCCACAATGGTCACGCCATATTTCCCGTCCCTGTCCCATGCTATTCCAGAACATGTATGTGTATGTGCACACATCAACACGTGGACAATGGTACACATATATCTTGTCATTCTTATTTTCTTAAAGCATAAAAAGTTTCTAAGGTACTGTTTTCCTTTACTGTTTCCATCTACGTAGATGAAGTTGAAAACCTTAAACTTGACAGTTTAGATGGACCAGCTTTGGAACACAAATTTCCTTGCCCTTTGTCAAATTTAACATTAAGGTAAGATTCTTAAGTTGGCCTTTTGTTGGATAGTCTTTTGGTGGGGTTAAGAAGACAAGGTCAAAAGATCCTGTTTTTAATGTCCTCCCAGGTGGCAAACTTTATGACCAGAATCTCTAAAGCCCAGATTCAAGTGTTGTGGCAGAATTCCGAGGGGTCCCCGAGATTCTCAGCCCTGGTGTGTGCGCCCCGTCTGATCTTCCGCTGTGGCGTGTGAGTGGGGCCTGGTAGTAGAATGCATGTCACTCCTGAGATAAGGTTATGTCACATGGCAAAGGTGAAAAGATTTTGGAGGTGTATTTAAGGTCCCAAACGATGGTGAGTTCATCAGGAGCAAGGTTCTTCTGGGAGGTCCTGACCTAACCAGGGGCGCCCTTTAAAAGCCTAGGGGTCAGAGTCTTGAAACAGAGATCCTGCTGGCCTTGGAGGAGGAACCAGCTTTCCTGTGACCTGCCTAGGGGGAGGAGCCATCTCTAGGAGCTCTGAGGAGCTCAGCTCTGCCGAGAACCTGAATGAGTGTGGAAAAGGGCTCTGGGCCACTGGGCCAGCTCCCAGCCCGGCTGACACCTCGTGACACCCTGCACAGAGAGCCCAGCCACAGTGCCCCGATTCCTGACCCCAGAAACTGCGAGATAATGGATGGCTGTTAGTTTCAGCTGCCAAGCTTGTGGTATTTGTTATACAGCAATAAGTAACTAATAATACTCCTATGAAGTAGCCTTGTCAAAAATGTGTACCCTGTGACAATGATGTGTCAACGTAGGTTCATCAGTTGTCACAGATGTACCACTCTGGTGGGGGATGTTGATAACGGGGGGGGGGGGGCACATGGGAAATCTCTGTACCTTCCAATCAGTTTTTCTGTGATCCTAAAACTACTCTAAAAGAGGATGAAGTCTATTTTTAAAATGTTTATCTTGAATCTAATTGAGCCTTAAGACCAGGCTTGACACACTTTTCTGTCAAGGGCCAGATGGCAAATGTTTTTGGCTTTGGGATCATAGTTCTCTGTCACTGTAGCATGAAACATGCCGCAGGCAATACGTAAATGATGCACGTGCCATGTTTTAGTAAAACTTTATTTACAAAAACAGACTCAGGTTCGCAGGCTGTGGCTTGCTGATGCCAGCTCTAGAATATAAAAGACTAAAGAGACAAAAGAACTAAATACAATGCATGAACTCATCTTGACTGGGTCCCAGTTGGAAAGGAAGAGCTAAAAAAGAGGTTTTGGGGCTAATTAGGAAAATTAGGGATGCTATGAAAAGATATTAAATAACGATTATTAGTTTGCGTAGGTGTGCGTGGTTATGCAGGAGAATCACCTTATTCCCAAGAGGCTTGTCCTGAAGTATTTATAGGTAAGGTGGGTTGACGTTACCACGGCTGGGGTTAGGGTGAGGTCACTGAGGCACGTTTGTACAAGTAGAAGGTCAAATTCCATTTTTATTTTAAATGCTGATATTTTGTTCATCATGCATTTTTATTCATTTTGATTTTTTAAAAATATGGCAATAAACTATTATTTGTCTTGATTGTTGAGTTGTTTGGTGCCCCTTAAACTTTGTGTCTCCGAGGAGTGCCCCGCCCTCCTCACCCGAGCCCCGCCCCTCACCTGGAAACCGTCCCTATCACTGGGAGTGATAGGGCCACTGCGGACTCTCAAACGGTGAGTAAATGTGCGTTCACTGTCCACATACTGCAGCTCTGCTGTAAGTTTGAACGTTAAGTAAATAGTCTTTAGACTTTAAAATAAATTTAAAAAATGCTAAACTCACAGATACAGGGAACAGAGTGGTGGTTGCCAAAAGTAGAGGGATGAGGGGTATGTGAAATGGGTAAACGTGGTCATAAGCTACCAGCTATAAAATAAGTCCTGGGGATGTGATGTCCAACCTGAGGGCTATAGTCAATGATGCTCTATTGTATTTTTGAAAGTTGTTAAGAGAATAGGTCTGTAAAATTTCTCATCACAAGAAAGAAAATTTGTAATGTTGTGTGGTAATAGGTTAATTGGATTTATTGTGGTGATAATTTTACAATATATACAAATATCAAATCGTTATGTTGTACACCTGAAAGTAACAAAAGGTTATAGGTCAATTATACCGCAGTGAACAAAACAAGTGGAAAACAAGACAAAGTAGCAGCCAAAAACCAAAAAACAAACAAAAAAAGAAAGAAAGAAAGAAGGAAAGAAAGAAGGAAAGAAAGAAAGAAAAGTAATTGTAACTGTGTGGTGATGGATACTAACTAGACTTCGTGGAGAACGGTTTGCAATACATACATATAATGAATCATATGTTGCACACCTGAAATGAATATGTTATAGGTCACTTATATCTTAATTTTTTAAAAGTCTCTACAATTTAACAAATTAATTCTTGCTACAGCTAGAGGGGCTGTAGATTTCGATCGTCTTGGAACAGTCCAGTTTATTTCAGTAGTCTGGCAGTGATTGTTAAAAGCACTCCATTTTACTCTTAAAAAGTGTCCGCCAGCATGGATGGACCTGGAGAACATTGTGCTAAGTGAAAGAAACCAGTTGGAGAAAGACAAATGTCCTGTGATCTCACTCACATGTGGAATCTAATGAACACAGTGAACTAACAAGCAGAGTAGAGACAGGCTCATAGATGGAGGGCAGGCTGCCAGCTCTGGGTGGGAGGTGAGGGGGTGGAGGGATCAAGGGAGGAGGAAAAAGGACTCATGGACGTGGACAACAGTGTGGTGATTGCAGGAGGAGGGGGGTGTAAGGGGGATAAATGGTAATGGAAAAAAATGCAATGAAAAAAAGTCCCCATTTGTATGATGGGTTACATGGTCCTATGGCATAAGGGAGCAAGGTGAGGCCCTGGCCGGGTGGCTCGGTTGGTTGGAGCGTCATCCCAACACACCAAGGCTGCGGGTTTGATCCTCAGTCAGGACGCATACAAGAAGCACCCACTGAATTTATCAGTAAGTGGAAAAACAAATCAATGTTTCTCTCTCTCATTCCCTTTCTCTCTCCCTTCCTCTCTCGTTAAATCAATACATTTTAAAAAGAGAGAAGGAGCGAGAGGAGGCTGTGGATAACCACGTTCTCATCCTGGCTCCTCCACAGCTAGGAGACCTTAGGGAAGTCGCTCCTCCAGGTACCGGGCTTGTCAAACATTCAGAGCAACCAAACTCCTCCTCAAGTGCAAACTCACTACAAAGCCTCCAATATAAGCAACAGTTCAGAGCAGCATTTTATTAGTGAAAACTCCTTTCCTATGTTCAATTTAGTATTTACCCACCAAGCAACTGATTCTCAAAGAAGCTGCTGAGATGGATGCACACATTTTAAGCCAGAAACCTTAGTTTGTCACAACATCCACCTTGTTCCCTGACTCACAGAGAACTGGTGGCAAAGAATAACTATTTATGCAAGGGCCCCCCTTCCAATCTAAGTTAAATGGAGATGGCAGGAGAATCCTAAGTTAGTTACCTCCAACACCCTAAAATTTGCTGCCCAATGCAGTGGACCATGCATTATATAATTACAGTTTAAAACATTTTTCAATGGAATTTGATGGTGTATCCAGCACTGGCAAAGCTCTCCTTGGAACCGTGGTTTGGGAAATGACTGAATAAGATAGGAAGGTCACGTCCAGCTCAAAAGCTTCTGAGGTGACTTTTTCTGAAACTCTGGATATCCCAGAACAGAGAAGGAACAGCACCTTGAAGGTCTGGACGCTCCTGTCCTTGCAACAAAAGCCCCAGAAGCAGGCAGGGCTTTCAGAAGGCTTTCACAAGAAGCAGGGTCTGTGTAATTTGAATGGAAACAGTTGGACTGTTGAACTTGCACAGGGCAGAGGTGGTCCGCAAGCATGTCAGGGAGATGTCGACAGCTCTTTCCATCTGCTTCCAAGAGCCCCCATTTTTTAAGATTAAAGAAACAAAGAAAAGAAAAGCATCTTTATCCTTGAAGTTTGAGGGTCAGGGAGTAGAGATGGAAGAACTCTAACAAGTTTATTGTTTTAACAGCAGCCTGGGTCATGAAGTCAGCTCACGAACTAGAGACACACAGACCAAATGTGCCTGGAGATGTAAAAGTGAGCCAATCACCAACTTTGAAAAATGAAAACCCTTTGCCTAAAAGTCTAGGTTTCTGGCTTTGCCCATGACCACAGAAAGCTCTGACAAAAGTGGGCTGCTTTCCTTATGGAGAGTTTAGGGTAGAGCCAAGGCGTCCACGCCCACCCTAGACAGAGTGTGCGCCCTCCATGTTCCCATTGTCTCCATCACTCTCAGCTTCTGCCCTGGGTGCACGATTGTCATCTAGATTTCTCACTGGCCCCTTCGGGCATTTGAATGTGCCACCTGTGGACTAGAGAGCTGTGCTTGTGAGACTAACGTCAGAGCAGGTCGTCCCAGCAGGACTGAAACGGGATGGCTCCTTGTTCTTGCTTCTCAGAGTTCTTGCGCCTAGGACTGTGATCTCGAGCAAGTCACAGCTACCTCTGCGAGGATCACTTACCTCATCTGTAAAGTGGATGTAGAAACTCCTGCCCCCCTGAAGTACGGGCTGTGATAAGGATCAGACCGTAGCACCTGGTGCTGTGTAAAGGGTAGAGCTTTGTGGTCCATACCTGTGGTTCGGTCAGTCTCACATCCACTCATCCCCAGTTTGCCTGGTACCAGCACCCCAGTGTCTCTCCTGGGAATAGCTTCTCCCATTCTCAGTCCACATAGTTGGGTGGACTGAGAGCCTAGGTGGGCAATTAAGTCACTGAGTTGGGCTCACTTATCACAGGGCTATATTCTCCTGGACAATTGATTGGTTCTGGGATGGCCATATCAGCCAACTGGGACCAATAGAATCAAGGCCAGGACTTTAGTTCAAACTGTTTGGAAAGGGAAGCTCTCTTTTCTACTGAAATGGCTGCCATGTTGCTAACTTAGGGATGGCAGGTCTGCAAATGGAGGCCACGAGGAGGAGAGAGGAATGGAAAGATGGTGAGACGCAAGGTCTTGGTTACATGACCTGAGGCCTTGGGTCCAAATACACATCAACACATAATTCTCTTCACTTCAACCAGGCTAAACAGGGGTAACACAGGGGACCCCAGGCCCCCACAGGCAGTTCTACACTATCAGGCAGACTTGTGAGCGCTTATTCGATTTGCATTCATTTCCCTGGGCCCTCCCTAATCCTGAGTCCTGCAGTGCTCCTGCAGCGGCCAGCTCTTCCCTCTGCCTTGATTTCACCATCCACACCGCCTTCCTGAAGTTCTTGAGAGAGTCCTGCTGCGGGGCTCTTGATGAAGGGCACTGGAATCGGTCACGGATGAGATAGCCATGTCTGGTGGGGGCAATGAAGCCGTTGGCGGTTGGGATGATTCTGTTCACCACGGCATGGACAAACTGGACGGCCCGTAGGCTGCCTGTGGGGGATGGAGGTCAGGCAGCACAAATGAGAAAACCAGGGCCACAGAGATTCGATTTCACACATTCAAGAGTTGACTGCATGGGATCAAATCCCTGCTGTGCCCTTTACTGGGTCAGGCGTGACATCCAACCTCTCACAGTCCTTTTTGCTTCATCTGCAATATGCAAATAATAACTGAATCTATGTACTGAGGGGAATTCTGAAGGTCTGAAGCTGTCATGTTGCGTGTTTAATATAAATTTCAGCCCACAGTGAGCTCAGTAAATATTATTATTATTATTATTATTATTGAAAGAGAAGTAGAAAGAGAAATTGTGAATCTGCCCAGGATGGGCTTTTAAGGCCACAACCCACAGAACTCAATTTCTGAGCCATCTGTGACATTCTGCCAGGCATCTTTGCTCCATTGTAATAGATTACAATGTATTAGATCATGGCGTATCGGACGGCATGTATTGGATTGTAATGTATTCTATTACGATGTGTTTGATTACAGTGTATTCTATTACAATGTATTTGACTTTTCCTGATATTCATTCGGCCACTTACTTGCTTTGTGACCTTGGGGAATTCCTTTAACCTATCGGAACTTCAGCTTCTTCGTTTGTTAAATGGCAGTGGCACTTACCCCCTAGCCACTGTCTGTAGGAAACAGTGTAGGAGGGTGACAGAGGTGAGCAAGGGGACCGGGCAGACCAACTTAAACCACAGCCTGCCAGTTACTCACTGCGTGACCTTGGGCAAGTCACCCTACGCTCAGAGTCTCTGCTTCTGCTCTGTAAAACGGGGATGACTATTGAGAGAATTACATGGCTTGGTGACGGTACCCAGTACCCCAGAAGTGTCAACTCTTGTTAACATGCCCTAAGTGTAATACTAAACAGACCAAGAGATGCGGGGTTTTCAACGTGGTCTTAAACAGGTTGCCCCTAACTTTTATAAGACCTGGGTCAAGAGACTGAATCAAGGCCCATATCCTGTGAGATGCAATATCTAAATGTTGCAAATCCAGCTAATAAACCATTAAATGAAATATGTTCTTTCCTCCTACATTGATGGCTATACCTTTGGAACCAACTGGAAGGTCAGGTTTAGGTTGAGAATTCTGTACTGGAATAGAGTGGTGTGGGAGAGCCAGCCCCGAGCTCTTTGTGGCTCGACCCCCTACTCTTCCCACACCCAGCCCCTTCCTACCCTCTGAGGGACCTCGCACATTTCACCTTCATGCACAGCGCCCATGGCCACCCCCAAACCTAGAGGTAGGCACGCTGGGGGCACAGTCCATCCCGGTCAAGAGTGTGTGAGAGGTCACTGATTGATGCTTCTTTCTCACGTCACTGTTTCTTTCCCTTTCTTGCCCCCTTCCTTCCCCTCTCTCTAAAATCAATCAATCAATCAATCAAATCCTAAAAGAAAAAGAAAAATGACTCACCGTCGAGCACACTCCAGACGATTATGGAGCGATCCCTCAAGCCCGCATACACATACTTGTCATCCTTGGAGAAGCAAGCACATTGGACTCCTCGACAATAAGTGTTCTGTTGAGAAAGACAATGTCATCTTGATTTCAGACAGGAAGACGCACAGGAGACCAGCCCCCGGGCCTGTGCGCAGGGAGCAAGGCCTGTCAGGCCCTGCGGGGGGACGGATCAATGGAAAACCCGGAGAGGCAGGTGGCGTCGCTGTTTCCGGGGTCAAAACACACCGTTGCGGAGACTGGACTGAGAGTTTTCGAGATATTGTGCATTGGAGAGCAGGAATTCTAAGATTTAATTCTTAAATAACCTCAGTTATGCAGGCATTAGCTATAATTGTCTTTAATTAGAAGCTCTGCGCTAAATGCAATAGGGGATCCTGGATCGGATCCTGGAACAGAAGAAAGGAATTTGTCAAAAATGTACAATCCCAATGAAGTTGATAGTTGAGTTAACAATATTGTTCCCGTGTTAATTTCCTAGTGTTGACAAACACATCCTTGTTATATAAGACATTAACATGAGGGAAAGCTGGGTGAGGGGTGAGCAAATGGGCTGTGAATCTAAACTTTTCTGTAATTCTAAAATCATCCCAAAATTAATTTTATTTAAAAACAAAACAGAAAGCTATGTGTATTTAACTGCAGTGGTGATATTCCCCATCTCAACAAGACAAAACATTCCTTACATCCTGGCCTTATAGCGGCTTCATAAAAATAAGTAGTCAGGTGGGACAAAGGCTTTTGAAGACGAAACTACTCATACTCTGTTTTCCTAGTACAGTATCACCTCCCTGTGTTTACTGACAATTTTCGCATCTTGCAACCTAAGGTACGGACTTCGTTCTCCATCTGAAAAACGAATAATAACCCCAAAGGTACAAGAGCGTTGTGAGGGTTAAATTACAGACGATTTTAATATGTATATTTTTGTATAATGTATATAATAAATATATAAGTATATAATGTAGTTCTTAATAATACTCATAGAAAAATTATACTAGCTCTTGGAGATGGGCAGTGGGGACTCCAAGGCACTTTGCAAATAAAGGGGTCACCAGTTTCCTCTTCAGAGCCTTTGCTGCTACTGTTTCTTCTTTCTAGAATGCTATTCCACAGGACTTACTTGACCTCTGATAGCAGCCCTTGCTATTCTCTACCCCCTTGACATTGCCCTATTTTTCCCCACAGACCTGTTACTCCCCAACCCATCACATACTTGCTGCTTTATTTTTATTTCACAGACATTTACTGAGTCCTGAGGCTATGTCAGGGGCTCTCCTAAAGACAGGGGCTATTTCAATGAGCGAAACAAAAAATGCTGCCCCCCAGCGCTCGCAGCGGCTCCCCGCTAGAAGCAGGCTCCAAGAGGCAGGGCTGCTGGCATCTGCCCTGGCCACAGCCGCTTCCTGAGGGCCAGGAAGAAGCCTGGCGATCTACGCTTAGATCAGCACACAATTTTGATTTGAATCAGTCCTATTCGGATATTTGGTTTTTAGATGTTTTGTAGACAGTTTTTCACTTGGCAGTTTGCCAGAAATGTGTATAGGCCCAGCACTGAGGAGGGAGTGAGTGACATACTCCTGGATCAGAAAAGCTTGCCTCTCCGGGCAAAAGCGTTTCTTTGAGACAAGACACCCAAGGGCACGTTCCGCTTTTTTCTGCTTACGGTGATAGCAATCTACTGCCACTTGCTTTGTTTTAAAACTGCTTTCCCATTTTGTTCTCAGTCTTTTGTTTATAAGCAGAAATTGTGAGAAGCTGCATTTCATGTTTAAACATGTGGGAGGATAACTCAGACTTGATATGTATGTAAGATCGATTTTCTAATAGGAAAGTTATGGTCCAAAATGGCAAAATTAGGACCAGATAAAACATGTAGTCTTTTTTTTGTGTGTCTGTTTTATTCCACTAGAATAAATGTGTCTTTGATGTCAATGCAAAGCACTTTTCCCTCATTAAACTGTAGATGTCAACTTTACAGTATAACTCAAGAATAAAATGTGATTAACCTCTAAGAAAAGAAAGGAGAAGCAGCAGCCTGGCGTGGACCGGGCGGTAAAGCCGGCGGGTGAGGGAGCGGCAGAGGCAGGGTCAGGGAGGGGGAGGCGAGGCTATGCCAGAGCAGGATTTGATTATGTCTTGATTTGAAATGTTGATATTTTTGTTCTTTGTGGATCTTTGGCACTCGCGATTTTTTTAAAACACCGAATTAAAATATTTCTCTAGACTGCTGAGTTTCGGGCAGCCCCGTAAACTCTGCTCCCGCGGCCAGTGCCTCACTCCTCTGAGTCTAGTCCCAACCCTGGTCAGGGGCACACTTAATAAATGACGCCTGTCCTCTGTTTTCTGACACCCGGACCTAGTGTGGCCACACACCGTGTAACTCATCTCAAATTTCCACTTGCAGGCCTGCAGGTCCCAGAGACACAGCAGGGCTTCCTCGGACCCGCTGACTGCCAGCTGCTCCTGGTGGCTGACCTCCACGCAGGTGACCCGGCTCCCATGGGCCTCCAGAGGGAACACTTTGGAATTCACACACTCGTAAAGGAAGAGGTCGCCTTTGGTCATGCCGTAAATCACACGGTAGTCGGCCAGGACGGCCACGCTGGATATGGTCGCAGGCAGCTGGGTATAGAAGGTGTAGGTTGGCCCATCGATGACTGGACACAGGTCCCCTGGGTTGATGTCAAACACCAGGACGATGCTGTCATAGGCGATGGCCAGGTGCTCCTCGCCCTTGCTCAGGGCCATGCAGTTGACGGCTTTCCGGGTCTCTGGAGGGGGGATGCACATCACATCCTGCCTGGAATTCAGGGGGAACACCAGGACAATTCCGGAGGCGAGGCCAGTGAAAAGGAGCTTGGCCTGCTCGGCGACCTCCAGACACCGGACCTCGTTGGAGGTGTCCAGGGCATCTTGTTCTTCACCTGCCACGGAGGGGAAGACCGCATCAAGAATGCTTGGTTTTTCCAATGTTTCCAATTATGGATAATGCTCTCGTTATCCATAAGCTGCAACTTGGCCACTGCAAGTTGCCCTGCTTCCACCCCTGTCCCCAAACCATCCGAGGTTATAAAAATGAAAACCCCGTCATATCACTCACTGCCCTGCATACCACCCTCCAGTGACTTCCCGCCCCTTCACATAACCTCAGACCTCATCCCAAACATTTCCTTTACGTGCTCCTGTAAAAGCTGAAGAGTAAATACTTTTGCCTTGCAGACTATGAGCTTTCTCTTGCAACCATTGAACCCTGCCTCTATAGCCCCCAAACAGCCACAAACTACAAATAAACCAAAGAGCCTGCCTGGATTCGGCCTGCAGGCTGGAGTTTGCAGGCTCCTCCTGTCTCATCTCCCACCGCATTCTGTTTCTTTGCCTCTTGCTTTGAGCCACAACCAGCAGACAAGCACCTAGAGAGTCTGTCTTGCTGAACCCGCCTCCCCCACCCCAAGCCTGGCACTAAACAAACTGTCAGATCGATGGATGCATGAACTTGAGAATGAATTTCTTTTCTCATATTATTTTATTACAAACAGGAATTTCTGTATCCCCATTTGCTCGGTGGGGATTGTAGCAGATACTGCTGGTAACACATCAGACCCTTGACTGGCCAGTTCACCCAGACCCAAGACTGCCTACTGCCGCTGAGAAGGGAACCCTCATCAGGAAATGCCTGGAGGCCGTGCCCACCCCACCTAGAGGATGGCACCAGGCCAATGACTGCCCGAGAGGGAATACAAAAGGCTGGCCCCCTTGCTGTGAGACGGGAACACTCAGGTGCCATTTATGCTCTGGAGCTGCCGTGGAACCAGGCTGAGCCCCGCAGCCCTGCCTGCTTCCTCACTGCCTCCCAGGCCTCTCTCCTGGGAGCTCCCCGCTGTGTACCACTTGTGCAAATATCCTCGTCCCATGCCCTGCTTTCCAGGGAACCTCAAGTAAAACAGAGGCTGACAACAGCTATCAATTGCCTGTGCCGGGTACTTACAAAAACCAAGTCCTGCTTTCTGTCCACTTCCAATTTGACTGGAGTCATGGGGATGATATCGACTGAATGTCTGTGTTCCTCCCAAAGTCGTATGTTCAAATCCTAACCCCTAATGTGATGGTACTTGGAGGGGGTCCACCAGGGGGTGATTAGGTTACGATGGGGGTACGCTCACAATGGGCTGAGTGCCCCCACCACAGAGGAGAGCGTGCCCTCTGCTCTCTGCCCCAGAGCCTGCTGGCCTGGGGACACAGTGAGAAGACGGCCACCTGCAAACCAGGAAGCCGTGCCCTCACCAGGTACCGGCTGGATCTGCTGACCCTTGATCTTGGGCTCCCAGACTCCAAACCGTGAGAGACATGTCTGCCGCTCAAGCTCCCCACTGATGGTGTTCTGCTACGGTGGCCCCAATAGACCAAGACGCGGCCTTCGGTGCTTGCCCATGCACGTGACTGTGCTTCTAACATACAGACCTTCTGCCAAGTCCCAAATGGTGACTTTGTTCTTGTCCCCAATTTTGGGGAAGTAGATGTAGCTTCCGCTGTGTGACACGGCGGTGAGGCCGGTGCGATCCAGAAACGGGGCAGAGGCCCGCGGCTTCCGAGTGTGAGTGAGGTCCCAGACTTTGAAGGAGGAGGACTGCTGGGAAGCAGACGCCACCAAGGCCCCACACCGGGCCAGCAGGCCTACGGGGGCCCCGACGCCTTCCAGGATGTCCAGCAGGGTCCCCTGTTCCGACAGACTCCATACCTGGGGATGGAGAGCAGAGGGGCAGAGCTGACTTCTTCCGTAGTTTGAAAACGTGCTTCAGTTCATTGGCCCACCGGAGGTGAATTCTCAGGCTGAGGTTCAAAGGCCTTCATGTCTCCCCGCGCCCTAAAATATCCCTACATCTCACCAGTCTACCACCACGACAGTTCTCAAAGTGTGTTCCAGGGAACCCCTGGAGGGTACCCCCAGTTTTTTCTGTAAATGCAAGGCTATTTCCATAATAATTCTAAGGTATTCTTTGCTTTTTCCATTCTCTTCCTCTCACAAGCAAACAGCAGAGTTTTCCAGAAGTTACGGAACATGTGATACTACAACAGATAGAAGCGCGCAGAATCAAATAGGAGACTCCAATAGTCTTCTATGAAGCTAGACGTGGAAGAGACACCCTTCCCATGAGTTTTTTGGTTTGTTTCAGAAAATAGAGTTATTTTCATAAAACTATGTTAATATGTTGACATGTTATAGAAATGAATTTAATGAATAAGTATTTCTAGATTTCCTTATTTTTTAATTTTTAATGAGATAATTATCAATAAGTACTAAATGCAATGTGGGAATCTGAATTGGATCCTGGAATGGAAAAGAAGTACATTCATGGGAAAGCTGGGGAAATTGGAAGCAAACCTGCAAATCAGTTAAGAGTGTCATTCCAGTGTTAATATTTTGGATTTGGCGAAGGGACCGAGGTGACGTGAGATGTGAATGTCGGGGCGAGCTGGGTGAGGCGTAGGTGCCCATGTGGTGTAACTCTTCCGTAAATACTAAAATGACACCAAAATATCAGTTGTTCGAAATATATAACTTGCTATACCCCATATGAACAAAAGCTCTTAGGGGCAGGGGTCTCGATAATCTTGTATACTTAACGATGCCCGGAGAACTTTGAGCTTTATAGGGCCTCTCCTCCCCTCCCCCGACCCTGCTCCACCCAAAGGTCAAAACCCTCCTGGTCTTCCAGGGCCAGGGGGAATGCCATCGCCCTCCTTGTATATCTTGGTAGTACCCCCCTCCCTGGTCTGTCACTGGGTCCTAGAAGACCCCCCCACCCTCCCCATGGCCTGCCCTGTTTTGCTTGCACTAGTTTTTGTGGGTTTCTGTATTTTGAAGTTCAAGGATCCCTAAAAAAATTATACTTTTATTTCAGGGGCAAAAGTGAGGTCGACCGGCTCTAAGTGTCCCTCTCACCTGAATGAGTGCATCCCGGGACCCAGTGACAATCAGATTGTTCTCAGGACCAAAAACAGCCGTCTCCACCGTGTCCTCGTGTTCAAGGTCAGTGGTCATGAGTCGATGAAATCCCTGTGAGTTGGCCAAGAATATCCGCACGGACCTTCCAAAGCCTGTGATGGCAGAGACTGGGGTTATACCTTTCATCTCTGGAGGAGCTTGAGTAGTTCAACCTAGTCAACCTGAGTTTTTTGATCACCTACTATGTGCCAGGGGAAGGGATACAATGGTGAGCAAGACAGACACAGCCCTCATCCTCACAGAACCCAACACTGAGAGCGGGGGGAGGGGATGACAATGATCAATAATCTCGCAGAAAAACAGCAAAGTCATTTATTAGCAGAAGATAAGGAGTCCTCTGAGAACTAGGACTGCCTGCTTGGGCTGCTCAGGGTGTCCCAGGACCCAGCACAAAGCTAGACACAGAGTAATTATGTTTTGAGGGAGGGAAGAAGGAAGGAAGGAAAGGAGGGAGGGGGGAGGGGGAAAGAGAGAAGAAGGAAAGAGAAGAAGGAAGGAAGGAAAAAAGAAAGGAGGGATGAAAGGAGGGAGGGAAAGAGAAAGGAAAATAAAATGGTTGTAATCTGTGATAAGGACAATGAAGTCAGGGGACTGGGTGCCAAGAGAATACGGCCACACAGGCACACGCAGCGGAGAAGGCAAGGCGAGGGCAGAGGCCGAGGCTGGGGTGTGGCCACAAGTCAGGGACTGGCAAGGCGGAAGCTGGAAGAAGCAATGAAGGCTTCTTCTCCAGAGCCTGCAGAGGGAGCCAGCACTGATGACTCTGATTTCAGACTTTTCGGCTTCTAGAAAGAACAATGAGAGAAAAAACTGGCCAGACCCCTTCTTCTCATTGGCTGCTGGAAAGAGCCACTCTTGAAGCCCAACTGTAACAAGTTTTTAGGTTTCTGAGCTCCTCAATGTCTGTGACTTCAGTCCTGATTCTATTTTGTGCCTCTACCTTTGTTTTTGTTTCTCCTTTCAATCCTCTTTCCTGTGCTACATTTTACACATCCTTTAGCTACCAGGAATTCTTTTGGAAACAGGATAGAGGGCATATGTCAATCCATCACCCATCATTTGATCTTAGAGGGTAAGCGTTTATCGGCCCTGCACGCTCCAATGAGGTCACGTGAGGCTGTTACTGCGGCCAGTCCAAACTGAGATAAGCTGTAAGTATAAAGTACACACCAGATTTTGAATTTTAAAAATGTCAGATATACCATTAATGATTTTTATATTGACTTCACATTGAACTTTTGGATGTATTGGGTTAAATATGACACATTATTAACACGAAGGCCACCTGTTTCTTTTCACCTTTTTAAATAAGGTCATGGGAACATTCACCATTATAAACACGTCTCACATTTGTGTTTCGCATTGCTGGACAGTGCTCGTCTACAGCGTCTTTGACCGCTGGAAATGGCTTTGCAAAAAACCAGGCTGATTTTAGGGCAGTGAAAATACTCTGTCTGAGGCTATCCTGATGGATCCATGTCATCACGCACTAGTCCAAACCCTTAGAATGTACACAACCAAGAGGGAAACCTAATGTAAACTGTGGACTGGGGTGATGTGTCAACATAGGCATATCAACGATCAATACGCACCACTCTGGTGGGACATGTTCATAGTGGGGGGGGTTATCATGTGTGAGAGTGGGAGGGGTACACGGGAATTCTCTGTACCTTCTGCTCCATTTGGCTGTGAACCTACAACTGCTCTTAAAAAAAAAAGTTCTTAAAAAAATTACGCTCTGGAGCATATGTTAGTCACCTCCACTAGGAAGCCTTCCCTGACTGCTTCGGACTAAAGAAGGAAGCCCTGTCATACACTCCCATGGCCCCTGATTCTTGTCTTTCTCGTGCTTACCTACCTGCCCATCTTTTCTGCAAGCCTTCAAGCCCCTAAAAGCAGGGGTGTGTGGGCTGACTCAGCCCTGGCTGCACCCCATGCTCTTGCCCAGTCCCACTCCATCCCTATGACTGGCTTCCCACTCCCACATCAAAGGTAATGAACCAGAAAGCCAGAAAGGTCTGGAGATGGGCCCGGAGCAGGAGTTGGCAGACGACCGCCCGTGGGCCAGAACTGGCCGGCCGCCTGCTTTTTCAGATGGCCCAGGAGCTAAGAATAGTTTTTTACCGTTTTCAGTGGTTAAAAAATATCAAAATAAGATTATTCCATGACACAGGGAAATAATAGGAAATTCAAATTTCAGCATCCATCAAGAAAGATGTATTGTCCCCTTGCCACGCCCACTTGAAATATCATCTGGGCGGCTTTTGCATTACCAGGGCAGAGTTCAATAGTTGTGACAGAGACCATTGGGCCTACAACGCCAAAAATGTGTGCTATGTGGCCCTTTGCAGAAAAGCTTTGCTGATTTCCGGTCTAAGACTCTGCCTTCACCCTGAGCCCCTCTCCATTCCAGCTGAATCTAGGGCTTCCTCCTCATCGCCCCCCAGTGAGCAAAACGCTACCTGCAGCGAGAAGGGACTCGTCTTCAGAGACCACCAGGAACCCCACAGCTTCTGGAAGCTTCTCCAGCAGGCTGTCTCCTTCAGAGGAAACCTGCACAAAGTCAAAGATGCCCATCAAGCATTTCCACAGGGTTTAGCATTCCGGGTCAAGAGATTGACGCAGGGCTTCTACTCACCCACAATGTGATCCTAAGCAAATTCCTTAACCCCCTGGGTGCCTCAGTTTCCTTATCTGTTAAATGGGTGATGATACCAGGGTTGCCTCACAGGGCTATCGTGGGCTAACAAGTGTGAAGAATGGCTCCCCGCACCCCCCAGCCATCAACCCCCCCCACAGTGGCAGGTGTTATTACTATTGACATTATTGGTCCTTGTTGGAACCAACTCAAGGACCCAGAGAACATTCTAGCATGTTCTCTACCCACAGAGGAGGTCTGGAGAGCTCAGATAAAACCAAAACACCAGGTGGAGGCAGAGGAAGGCAGCACTGTTCTCCCCATTCCCCAGTTGCAGAAATGAACTGATTTTGTTCGAACCTGAGAGGCAGAGTCATTCATTTGCCCCGATTCTCGGCCCCAACCCAATGCCTGAGTTTTGAGAGCCTGACTGGCGCCAGGCCAGATGCCAGAAGCATTGTGTCCATTATCGAGTGGGGGTGGGAGTGGGGGCGGGACGTGTGGGCAGCCCAGGAGAGCGAGTCCTTTGCACCAGTTCAAGCCAGGACTTCTGAAAATATTTGCTCGACATTTATTTAGCAGGTGCAGAAGCAAGTGAATTTCTTTATGGACGTTACTGCTGCTATTTTTTAAATGTGATTCTTTTAAAACTTAAAAAATTAAACAATAATGCTGCATAAGATTTTTTGAAAAGAAATATCCCGCACACACCATGAACATCTTTTCAGCTTCCTTGTCATGCGTCCTGTCCCCTAGAAGGGACCGTTGTCCATTTGACGGATCAATGCTCACACGAGCGCCCTTTGGGGCACAATCCGTCACAGGTGTTCTGCGAGTTGCTCTTTCACCCAACGTGTCTGGGACAGGGGTTCTCACCTGGGGGGGCGGGGGTTTGCCTCCTCAGAAGACATTGGGCAATGTCTGGAGACGTTTTTGGTTGCTAAGGTCGGGGAGATACTTTGCAGCAAGTGGGTGGAGGCCAGGGCTGCTGCTAAGCATCCTGCCATGCCCAGCACAGCCCCCGACAGCAGAGAAGGGCCTGGCCCCAAATGCCAATAGTGCCGGGGTCGGGGGAGCACAGCAGTTAAGAGCGTGGATCCTAGAGCTAGATGGCGTGAGTTCAAAGCCCATCTGTGACTCGCTGCGCCTCAGTTTACCTAACTGTAACAAAGAAAATGGCAGCAGCTACATCTTGGCATTGCTTTGAGGGTTAAATAAGTTAACAAAAATAAAGCTCCTGGAATAGAGCTTAGCACATGATGAGTACTACCTGAAAATTTGTTGTAATGTCCTTGAAGGGAGCTTGGCAAACCTTTCCTGGAATGGGCCAGATAGTGACTATTTTAGGCTTTGTAGGCATATGGTTTCAACTTTGCCATTACAGGCCAAACACAGCTGTAGACAGCATATGCACACGTGAATGTGGTGTGCCAATAAAACTGCACTTACGGACACTAACTATGGATTCCATAGGATTTTCACATTGCAAGATATTTAAAAAATTTTTTTCAACTACTAAAATTAGAAAAACCATTCTCAACTTGTGGGCTACACAAAACAACAGGCCATGGGCCGCCATTTGCTGACCACTGCTCAAGATCATCTGATTTTTCATAGCTAGGTAATCTTCCATAGTGTGATAGACCTGAATGCATTTAACCACTTCTCTATAGATGGACATTTCATATCATGTCGATGTTTTCTTATGACATAGAGTGCTGCACTAAATACCATCCTTCAGGCTGGTCTTATTTTTAAGTGAGGGTTTTATTCTTGAAGATCTCAGGTAATATAACATATACCATTTGACAGGGATTTCCCTCTCGGACCGATAAGGGATAGTAGGTGTTTCTGCCTGCCAGGCATTGATACTGACACGAGTGTAAATATAGTCTACAATTCATGAGACGCTGAACAAATTTGAAAAGGCTTTTACATTTTCCCTATTTCAAATTTGCTCCTGAAATGAGGCCAAATACTTTTATAATCCTATTTCAAATGTACCTAAGTCAAATTCACATAAAAGTTAGCCGGGCTGTTTTACATTTGTGTGCACATGTGCAAGTATTTAGGATCTGTTCCTGGAAGCAGAATTGCTGGGTTCAGTGGGAATGTGACTTTTTAATCCTGAGAGACACTGCCGAATTGCTTTCCCAAGGGCTCACCCATTTATATCCCCACGAAGAAGGTAAAATAGTGCCCAAGAAATGGATTTTCTTTTCATGAAAGCATACACTTTTATGTTTAATAAAAGAGCTTCACTGCATGCGCTTTGCTGAACCAGATAAATCTTGGGCAGTGTTTTTTTTTTTTTTTTTAATAAACATTTATATAATAAAATAAAGCTCCCATTCCTGGTATGAGCATCGCCCGATGCAGAGGTCATTTTCAAAGTTTTGCTGACTTTCAATGACCAAAGGCAGGTCACAGCTGGCTCAAGGCCGGTGCCTTCATCTGGAGTTGCCCCGTGCAACTGGCACCTGCAGCCTTACGGTTGTGCTTGTAAGAAGTATGTGTGTTTGTTTCTACTAAAGTAGGATGGGGTCCTACTTATATTTTTTAAATCCTTGTTGTAAGTTTTATGTTATTTCAATACCAGACTCCAATTGACATAGGCATGATCTTCATTTCCCGGTTTGCAGGTTTAGTGGCTCTGCAGCTTGAGTTCCACTTGGAACTCAATTAAATATTTCAAGGTCAGCTTTGAGGAAGAGTGATGATTGGGTACCACTCAGGAACTTTGGTGCAAAGAGGCTGCTTTTCCCAGGACCAAATAGTTTCAGAGTCTTTTGTTACCTGCTTGTTCAATCTCCTTCCCTGTGGCCTGACTTAAGACACAGCTTTGAGCTGAGCCTTCTCTTTTAGTTACCTTCCTTCATTCATTAAGCTTTTCTTCAGCCTGAATAACTTCTTTTGAGCATCTCCTATGGTGCAAATATATTGGAGACAAATTGTCTCAGCTTTTGCTTGCCTGAAAATGCCTTTATTTTGCCTTCAGTGTTAAAAGATATTTTCACTGGATATAGAAGTATAGGTTGAGAGGTTTTGGTCTTCTCTTTCATCAAATTATAGATGTCATTCCATTGTCTTCTGTACTTGTCTCTGATGAGAAGTCAGCTGTCATTCTTATCATTGTCACCCACTATATGTAATGTGTCTTTTTTACTCTGCATGCTTTTAAGATTTTTCTCTTTATCTTTGGTTTTCAGAAGTTTGACTGTGATTACCAGAAGGTAGTTTTCTTTCTTTTGAACCTGCATGGGACCCTATGAGCTCTTGGATCTCTGGGCCGATGTCTTACATAAATTTTGGAAAATTCTCGACCATTATCTCTTCAAATATTTCTTCTGCAGAATTCTTTTTTGCCTCTACTTCAGACACTCTAACTGTCCTTTAGATATTTGGCATTATCTCACAATTCTCAGATGCTTTTTTTCTTTCCCCCTCTTTTATTTTGTTTACATTTCTCTTTGGATCATTTCTATTAACTTGCTCTTAGTTCTCTCATCTTTCTCTGCTGTGACTAGTCAGATTTTAAGCCCATCAAGTGAATTCTTCATTTCTGACATTGCCTTTTTATTTCTAGTATTTCCATTTCATTGTTTTCTCTAGTTTTGACTTTTAAAATTTGAAATTCCCATCTGTTCCTCACCTTTCCCACGATTTATCGTATACATTTTAAAGTTCTTTGTCTGATCATTTAAACATCTGTGTCACTTGTGTCACTGTGTCTGCTTCTATCAACTGGTTTTGCTCTTGATGATGATCACACTTTGCTCTTGATTATGGTCCCAATTTCTTGCTTCTTGGTGTGCCATAATTTTTGTAACATAATGGATATTGTATCTAAAAGGACAATAGAGCCTAGTACTCTGAGGAAAAGGCACCCTGTTGCTCATCTAGTATGGAGGGGTCTGAATCAACCTAATTTATATCTCAACTGGGTCTGGGGTTGACTGCATTTTTAATTAAATTTATTTGCTACAGTCCCAAATATTTTGAGGGTGATATCAAGACTTCTCCTCTAGCAGGGCTAGTATCTGAGCACTGATGAGATTCCACAGACCCCCTATTCCTTAAACCCCAGCCATCAGTTCTACGAGTAATGGCATGTCTTTCTCTACTTTATAGCCTGACCACCAGCTTCTTGGGGATGCTAGAGATTGCCTTTCCAGTCCTGCCTGCAACTTTCTGCCTGAGTTTATATTTTGCCAGGAATCTGGTTTGGATTGCCCCAGAAACTGACGTTGAGAATAGTATTTGAGTGCAGGTAGTTTATTTGGGAGTTGATCCCAGAAAACACTGGTGGGGGGGGTGAAGAAATGAGACTGGGAAGGAAAGGCAGCCAATAAATGTGGCTCATAAAGGCAGTTAATGATGTGGACCAATTGAGCTCTGCCCTGCTGAGGATGCTCTCAGAGAGAGTGTAGAACATGCATGAGAGAGGCCAGGAGCTGGGGTTCCATTCATCGGCCCCATCAGTGGTTCAGGGAAGGCTGCTCTCAGGAGCAATAACACAGTGGTCAAATGTGCTGGGAGAGTGGGGGACTTAGGGAAAAAAACCCAGGTGCATAGTTGAAGGTGTGCAGTAAGCAGCTGTAATGTAAGTGCCTGGCATTAAGCTTTTGATTGCCAAGGCATCCACCACAAGAGACATCCATCTTGAATAAACACATTGCTAGCTGGATGACACAGCCACCAGTGGGTAATCTAGGTAAGTGACCACTTGAGTGACCCAACTCCTCCCTTTAAATTCACCAATACAGAGTGAACTTACGAAACCCTAGGTCTTACCCTTAGACTCTAATAAATGCAGAGCCCCAGGTTCCCTCCATCCATCTCTCTGTCTCAATCTGTGTCTCTCTGTTTCTTTCTGTTTGTCTGTCTTCTCTTTCTCTCTTCTCAACCTCACTGTGTGGCCCTGGGGTGTACTGTGTTATACCTTGTAGGACTCATGAGTAATACATCTTGTTCCTCAAAGTTTCCCGATAGTTTCTTGCTGAAGTGCATCCTGCAATCCTAGTAAGAACCACAAGAGCCCTGGCTGTTGTGGCTCAGTGGATTGAATGCCGGCCTGTGAAATGAATGGTCACTGCTTCAATTCCCAGTCAGGGTTCATGCCTGGGTTGCAGGCCAAGTCCCTGGTTGGGGACGTGCAAGAAGCAACCGATCGATTTATCTCTTGCACATTGCTGTGTGTCTTTCTCTCTTTCTCCCTCCCTTCCCTGCTCTCTAAAAATAAATAAATAAAATCTTTAAAAAAAAAAAAAAGAGCCACAAGGGCTGTCCCAGCCATAAATAGGGGCCCCAGTGGGGGACATGTTTGTGGAGCTCCCTACAAGTGATGTGTGCCCTGGTGAGTACTGTGGCTTTCATAACCAAGGGCACTATCATCAATAGGCTTGGGACCGATAAAACAACAGCCTCTGGGAATAGAAGAATAGCCTTCAGAACTGAGGGGATGGGGCTAGGGCACCAGTAGTGAGTTATGTAGGTAGAAATGTAAGTTTAACTAGCACCCTATTTCCAATTCATTCCAGTGATAGGTTACTGGTTGGAAGTCTGAGCAGGCGCCCATCTATCCATCCCTTGTCCTGGCTCTGGATGTAGGTGCTGTTTCTGGCCCCACCCCATTTTACAAATAAGGAAACTGAGGCTCAAAGAAGAGGCTGAGCTTGCTCAAGAATACAACTAGTTTAAGGCAGAACAGGGACTTTCAAATCTAGCTGTGTCTAACCCCCAAGTCCAAGTTCCTTTCTAGACTGAAGGATATTACTGAAGATAATCAGTAAGTGGAGAAATAACATTAAACATCCAAGACACCTGATAAAAGAATCGAGATTCTCTTTCATTACGGTGTTTGCTGCCTTGATTGCTCAGGGGAGCTATGAGGCCATGAGGTCCTAAAGTGTGGAGCTCCAGGTCGATTCTCTAGTGGCCATATTCCTCCCCCTCTCAAATTCTCACCTCCTGGGCAGAGCATACAAGACCTTCTGTGAACTGTTTCCATGATGCCTCTCCTTTCATTAGAATGTCAGGCACGTCCTATCTCCCCACCATGATATCCCCTATTCCTTCTATCTTTCTCTTTTCATCTTAGAAATCCTTCCTGTCCCAAGGATGCCTCCCCAGGGGAGGCTTCCCAGATTGCCTCTTCCAGAAGTATTTACTCCTCCCCCCCAACCGAGAACACACTACCTCTACTTCTACAGAGTCTGTTCCTCTTAGTGTGACTATATGTACTTGGCAAGTTCATCTTCCTCCCTAAATCGAGTTCTTGAGGGTGCAGTTGGACTCCTATACCTTCTACAGCCCCTCTACAGCCTGCCGTGGTGCCCTTGTTTCTCCACTTACGAGTCCTTACATAGCTTGCTATTGGTGCCCCATCCATACCCCCTCAAGGTTCTTTTCTATTCCAGAGGGTTGCTTATCGCACACCTGCAACACTGCACCTGGGCTGGTATTTTTCCTGACTTCCCCACCCCCCTCCTACCATCCCACTTGGTCCCTGTGTGAGTGCTCCCAAGAGCAACCAACCACGGATGGAGCTGGTGGATAGTGCCCAAGCCCCTGGCTCCTCGGTGGGACAGCTCCAAAGCACATTCTTACACTGTCTCCCACGTTATGCCCCGCAGGACCAAGTGCCGACGATGGCCCCCATTGGCCAGCCCCCAGGAGATACCAATAGGTGTTTCTGAAATGTGCTGAATTGTGAATCTCTGGGATTAGGAAGTCAAGTGTCATTTATTAAAAGATAAATGCTTTTAATAAAGCATTTAGGCTTCTAAGACAGCCAAGCACTTTGGAGCTGATATTCATATTCATATTCATATTCAACAAAGTGGCTTACCAACAAGATGGAGCCTTTGCTGAACCCAACAACCATCCATCCTGGTTTCTGGACTGAGACCCCACAGGTAGGTGTTTCTTCTTTGATGCCAGACAGGCGTTGCTTCCCCTGCACTTTGCCTGTGGCTGAGCTCCACAGACCGACCGCGCAGCCCTCAGACACCGTCAGCAGCGTGGCCTGGGAAGCCAGCACTGCCGTGCACAGCCAGGGCTCAGAGGCATCTCCCAGGACATGGAAAACCAGCTCTGCAGTTTCCAGCTTCCAAGCACTGACCTAATAGGATAGAAAGGAAGAGAAAACCCGGCAGAAGACCTAGGCTGCAAGTTTTCCAGAGTCAAATGCAAGAACTGTTCTTTTTTACAGTTCATGCATTTTATTTTCAACACTCTGCTAGTTCCAATTATAGGGCGGTCGGAGAGGGGTATCCTGAATTGGATCCTGGAAGAGCAAAAGGACATCTGTGGAAAATTGATGAAATCCAAATAAAGACTGGAATTAAGTTGATAGAAATGATCAGTATTAATGCCTTAGTCTTGACAAATGTGGTTAAGTAAGATGTTGACATTAGAGAATGCTGGAGCAAGGGCATGTGGGAACTCCAGGATATCTTTATAACTTTTGCATAAATCTAAAATTGCTGCAAAATAAAAAGTTTTAAAAATGGAAAAAAAAAGCCGCCATACCATATGCATTGACGTCGTATATGTTCATTACAAGTAATTATTGATTAAAGCAGTTTTCCTATTTAACCTCACAAAAATCTTTTTATTAGCAGTAACCACTTAAATAGTAAACATTTGCCCATTAGTTTTATTTCTGGGGTTTGTATTAAAGAAATAAGGAGAGATACACACAAAAATATATGCATAAGGAAAGTTATCTCAGTTACTTGAAAGCTAAAAGAACTGGACACAACCTATATGTCCAACAGCAAGGGATTAGTTAAATACACAATACTGAGCCATGCAAAGGAACCTTATGAAATCATTCGGCAAGCACTTTTTGAAGACTGTTTAAGGTTAGGAGCCAATGAAAATAGCTTTATAAAACTGCACATATGGTTTTATCCAGATTTTGTTTTGTATACACATGCATCTGCAAACATACACACACATATACCACATAAAGCAGTATCATGTAAATGTTAACAGTGGTTATCTTTGAGACTGTTATTATTCATTATTTCTTTACTGTTGTTTCCAAACTTCTGTTGATAACAAAGATGATTTCTATAATCAGCTTTGAAATCAACACTTCTCTAATATTTAAGCCTGCACTACCCAATAAAAATATAATGCAAGTCATGTGTGGCTAAATTTTTATTAGCCACCTTTGTTACCTTTGAGCCAGATGCTGAATACACAATCTTCTTCGCTTCATCCACATGGAGGCTCCAGATCTGAGGTTCAGCGGGATCTTTTGAGTGTCCCTCCCAAATGGTGAATTTCTCCTGGCCAGAGAGCAAGTTCCACAAGCGCAGCGTGCGGTCCTTGGAGGCAGAGATGGCCTGCGTCCCTTCGGCAAATACTTTTACGCACCTGATCTCTCCTGCAGCAGGTCAGGGTGGAGGAGAATATATTAGCTGGGCAGTCTGACCTTCCATCTACCAAAATGCCTGTTGGCTTGGAAATTCCCTGGTTTACAAAAGAAAAAGAAAAGAAAGAAATAGGGTGGGGGATGGATTTGAACATCCCCAAATGAGAAATAATGGAATGTGACAAAGCGTGTAACAACTGGTTGGGATCGACTGCCCAGATGTTGAAAAAAATAAAAGTTCAGCATCACCCAGGGAGTGTAAGAAAAGCAAGGTAAAATTATAGAAGATTCTATAACTTGGGAGAGATATGATCTAAGCAAAACATGAAATTTTGAAGACATAAAGGGAAAAAATTAACCAATTGGATTACATAAAAATGTAAAACTTCAGGAGAGTAAAATGTAACTGACAGGCATATGTCAGATTGGGAGGAAATATTTGCAGTATATAACAGAAGCATGGAGACTCTCCTTAATATACAAAATGTTCTTACAAATAAGCAGGAAAAACACAAATAACTTATTCACAAATTAGGCAGAAAACTGATGGAAATAGTACAATAGACAATAAGCGTTAGAAAATGATGCTCAACCTCATAGTCACCACAAAAATGCAAGATGAAATTCTAATATCATTATTACCATCATATTGGTAAAAATTTTATAGGTTGATTGCTGAAGTGCTGGCAAAGATATAAGAAATCAGTTATGGTCCTATCTTGCTGATAGGAGTTTAAGTTGAAATAAATTTGTAAGAGGGTATTAGGTACTATTTATTAAAAGTTAAAATGTGCAATCTCTTGGTTTTGATAATATACTATAATTATGTAAGATGTTGCCAGTCAGGTGAATAAAGGGTCCACAGGAAGTCTGTACTATTTTAGCTAGCAACTTTATGTGAGTCCATTAAGTATTCAATATTTCAAAATAAATGGCTAAGAAAAAGAGGGATAAAGAAAAAGGGTGCAATTTGACCCAGAAATCCTACTTCTAGAAATTTCTTACAGAAATAATGGCATAAGAGTGTGAAGATCTAGGACTTTAATTGCATATTATTTGTATGTAAAGAATATTATATAGGCATTAAAAATAGTAGGCTGGGCCCTGGCCAGGTGGCTTAGTTGATTGGAGCATCATCCTGTAAACCAAATGGCTGAGGGTACAATCCCCAGTCAGGGCATATATATTACCTAGGGTGTGGGCCTGATCCCCAGAGAGGGCTCCTATGGGAGGCAACCAATCACTGTTTCTCTCTCACATCAATCTCTCTCTCTCTCTCTCCCCCTCTCTCCTCCCCCTCTCTCTCTAAAATCAATAAATATATCCTCATATGAAGGTTAAAACAATAAAACTAATAAGACAGGTGTATATATACAATGTTTTGATCATGATAATCATTATTATTATAACAGCCAGTACTTACTGAGTGTCTTCTACATGCCAAGCAGAGTTGCTAGTGGTTTACAATCATTAAATTCCTTTAATCCTCATAACAACTCTGTGAGATAGGATTATTATCCCATTACACAGATGTGGAAACTGAGGCTCAGCAGAATAGAGTAACTTAACCAAAGCCACGTGATTATTAAGTAATGGAGCCAGGATTTGAGCCCAGGGCCCAAGCTCTCAACCACTACAGAATATTGTTACAATTTATTGTGATAAAAGCTAGTTTCAGCACAGTATATATCTGATTTTTGACAAAAACTCAAAGTACATGAGCCTAGAGAGAGCTACATCAGCATAAGCCTAGAGAAAATTTGCTATTGGCATATAACAAACTGTGAACTCTGTTCACTCCTGGGGGGAGATTGAAAGGGGGAGAGAATAAAGGGAGAGAGTTTTATTTCTTTATAATTCAAATGCCATCAGGACAGTGGGTGATTTTTATATGTTGCAATTTGGGTATTTTCAAGCAAAATTTTTATAAAAAGTAATTCTTTATAATATATCCTCATAGAGAACACTATATTACTGCTAACATGAATGCCATATATATGTATATATATGTATATATATAATGCAAAGAGGTAAAATATATGATGTTAACTGAAAAAAAGGTTACAAAAGCTTATATGACTATATAACCATATGTATATAAAGCATATATATAACTACACATACATACTATATATACTCGTGCATATATAACTCTATATACATACACAGTTACGTGCCACATAATGACATTTTGGTCAGTGATTGTATATAAGATGGTGGTCCCGTAAGATTATATTAGAGCTGAAAAATCCCTATGGCCCAGCGACCTCATAGCCACTGCAGTGCAACACCCTCCTCGCCTGGTTGTGATGACGCTGGTGCAGGCAAATCCGCTGCATTGTCAGGTGAATACTATGATGTTCCCACAATGACGAAGTGCCTAACAATCATTTCTCAGAGTGCATCCCTGTCCTCGAGCAGGATATGACTGTATAAAACCAAACAACCCCTGGAGGAAGGGATTAGAACAGCAATATGCTGGGAAATGCTTCATAACCAGCTCTGCCAGCGGGTAGCAGAAAGCCCTGATTTGTGGTGTTGGTCATTTTTCATGGTGGAAATACTCCCACTGTGGCTGATTTCAAGCCACTAACATGATTCGTTGGCTGTGGAGGTGGGAAGAGACGCCCAGAGGCACACCGCTTCTCCCGTGCTGGGACGGCGGCCAAGGACACAGGCAACGCTTGAGTGTGGTGAAATAATTAGAAAGTGACAAGTTAAATGGTAATGGGAAAACACATAATAAAGATTATATATTTAAAAATAGAAAGCAACATGTTTTGAGTATTTATTACTTTGTGTTAATATAAGTGATTTAATTACTATATAATATACAGTTTAATAATGGCTTATTCTGTCATCTGCCTCCCAACATTCCTGAAAACATCACAATCGGCTGCCACAAGCCAATATGAACCACTTCCAGCAGCTACCATGTGATCAGAAACATTTTGAGTATGTCTCTAATTCAGTTTTCAGTAAATTGACTACTGAATTTTTCTGATCACAAATAATAAGAGTTTGATGACTGTAAAAAAAGAAATCCTAGCGAGGCTGTGGAGGAAAGGGAACACTAGTCCACTGTTGGTGGGAATGCAGACTGGTGCAGCCATTGTGGAAAGCAGTGTGGCATTTCCTCAAAAAGCTGAAAATGGAACTGCCTTTTGATCCAGTGATTCCCCTGCTGGGACTATACCCTAAGAATCCCAAAATGCCAATTCAAAAGAACCTATGCACCCCAATGTTCATAGCAGCACAATTTACAATAGCCAAGTGTTGGAAGCAGCCTAAATGCCCATCAGTAGATGACTGGATCAAAAAATTATGGTACATTTACACAATGCAATACTACACAGCACAAAGAAAAAAAGAACTACTATACTTCGCAACAGCATGGATGGAACTGGAGAGCATTATGCTAAGCAAAATAAGCCAGGGGGTGAAAGACAAATACCATATGATCTCACCTATAAGCAGAACCTAACCAACAAAACAAAGATGCAAGGAAAATAAGACCAGCAACACTGAAAGGAAAAGAAACCAACAGAGACAAGAGGGAAGAAGGGAGGGGTGGAAAGGAAGGGAAGGGGCAAGTCAAGGCACATATAGCAAGGACTCATGGACAAAACCAAAGTGGGGAAGGACTGAGGGAGGGAGAGGGGGGAGACGGCAGGGGAAAGCGGTGGGGGGGGGAAGGCGGAGACAAATGTATTTGGAAAAATAAATAAATTTTTTAAAAAAAGAAATCAAGGTCACCATTGGTAAATGGGCATAGGTCTTGAATATTTGTGTTTGTCAACACAAAGATTGAATAGACATATAGAAAAATAGCCATCCTGGCGATAATAAAATGAACAGTATCTTATTCGACAGGCATTCTGACAGTACCCACCCCACTCCCGTCCTCAGGAAAGAAGAGTAAAATGGAAACATCCAACACTGGGAGCTTTGGGGTTGATGGATGTTTTTTTGCACTACATACAGCCTGTCTGGAAACCAATAATATGACACTTGTCAAAACTCAGAGAAATGTTCATACCTTTCAATTCAAGAGCCCCACTTACTGGAAATATTTGACAGAATGCTAAAATTATTGATAAGAGTAATAAGAGATTCATTCCATTGTTACCCATAATAGCAGATAACTAGAAATAGTCTAAATAGAAACATTTTTAATAGTTTAATAAATTCTGGAATATGATCTGTTGAGAGAATGAAATAGACCCTTCCATTTCATTTGAATGTGATAAATATGAAGATTCGATAGACCCTAGCAGCAGCACTCAAACAGCCCAAAATTGGAAACAGTGTAAATGCCCTTCAGCCGATGAACGGATAAACAAGCGCTCGCCCTCCCGTAGAGTGGACTATGACTCAACAATGCCACGGAACAAGCTCTTCATCCCTGCAGCAACACGGGTGAACCTCAAACACAGGACGGCGAGTGAAGGAAGCTAGATGCAAGAGATCACAGAGTGTACCATTCCATTTCTAGGAAAGGTCCAGAACGCAGATCTACAGATTCAGAAACACACCAGCGGTTGCCATGGAGCTGGGGTATGGGAGCAGGGCGGGGACTGCAAAGGGGACTGGGGACTGGAGGGAGCTGGGTGTGATGAAAAGTTCTAGGATTGTGGTGATGGCTGAACAACTCAGCAAATTCACTAAAGATCACTGACTTGTCCATTTCAAACAGGGGAAGTGTATGGTATGTAAATTAGACCTCGATGAAGTTGTTTTTAAAAGATTTAACAGAAACAAAAAAATGTGTATGGCAACATGTTAAGAAAATACAATCTTGTAAATGCAAACAGTGTACATACTTAGATCGCAATGACATAATATTTCTAACATCTTTATTGAGAAATAATTTACAAACAAAATTCACCCATTTGATAAACAATGCTAGAATTCACTGAAGGCTCCCAGTTGGTAACCACAGGCTAAGTTTAGAATATGTTTATAACCTCACAAAGCTGTCATTCCCTCTGCTTTCTCTCCTTATCATTTTAGCCACTTTAAAGTGTCTAACTCAGTGGTGTCCAGCGCATGCACAGTGTTGTGCAACCACCACTTCGATCCGACCCCAGAACGTCCCCCCACCCCTAAGGGAGACCCGTCCTCATGAGCAGTCACTCCCGTTCCTTCCTCTCCCACTGGCAACCACGAATCTGCTTTCTGTCCCTATGGATCTGCCCGTCCTGGACATCGCATATAGCTGGAATCATACACTATGTGGCCTTTCGCGTCTGGCTTCTTTTATTTGATGTAATATCTCCAGCTGCAGCCTCGTGGCTTCCTTGCTGTTCTGTAAACGCGCCAGCCTCCTCTGCCTCTCAGTGCCTTTGCACTGGCTGTTTCTCATGCCTGGACACTTTCCTGTGTCCTTTGCACACCTCTTCCTTCGCACTCTCTGCGTCTTGGCTGAAACGTCCCTGCTTAGAGGAATGCCCTCCCCAATGTTCTAAGTTGGTCACTTGGGTTATTGTAGCTCACGACTGTTTTTCTCATTATGTTTGTCACAGTTTAAACTGGCTCACCCTCCCAAATCCGTGAGTCTGCCTCGGGCCATGGTTAGGGTGAGACAGGTGCACACTCCTCGGGTGCAAACTTTAAAGAGGCTCCAAATCACTGAGTGTCTCTTAGGCCTCTGGTTCCAATACGGCTTGGCACGCACTATTGCTGATCCTCTCTTTATTCAAGGCAGGTTGATACTTATTCGTTGTGGTTCTTTTTGCATTAATTTCCATTTTTAGAAAACACTGTACTGAAATATTATTTATCTTGAAGGCTAAGACTTTATTCACTTCAGGGGCACCCCTTTAAATTGCGTACCCAAGGTGCGTGCCTTACTCCCCACACCCTAACCTGGCTCTGGTCTGTCTCTCTTTGGCCTCTACAACAGGGCCTGGTACACAGTAGGCACTCAATAATTGATCAAATGAGTAAACCACAGTGGTGACGGGACTCAGCAGAAAAGAAAACTTTACTGTGCTAGACACATCGCATAGAGGAGCACAAGGCTTTACCCTCCCTGGCCCATATGAATATACCTTCTGCAGTGTGGTTCTGTTTCTCCAATCAAGAGATAAAGTCTGTTTCCCTGCTCACTGATTTTGGGCTGTTCTTGCGACTGTCTTTGACCAGCAGAATGTGACAGGGTACCAGTTCTGAGGATAGTTCTGGACCTTAAGAGTCTGTGTGCTTCTGCTTGCCCTCTAGAGACCCGGCCTCTGCCCCAGCTAGCCTGCTGGAGGATGAGAGACCATGCGGAGCACAGCTGAGCTGTTTCAGCTGAGAACATCCTGGACCAGTCAGCTCCCAGGTGCCTCACTAACTGACCACAGATGCATGAGCAAGCCCAGCTGAAACCAGAAGAGGTGCCCAGCTCAGTCCAGCCTGACTTGCCAATCCACAGAAGGTGAGCTAAATGAACAGCTATTGTTTGAAGCTACTATGTTTTGAGATGTTTTGTTATGCAGCGATAGCTAACTGATGCAGGAGCAGAGCCAGGGTTTTGATGCAGAAAAGTGAATTGGTAAGTGAAGGGGTTCTGGAGACTGACTGACTGATGCAAGACACTAGGAAAGAAGGTGATACAAACCCCTTCCTGGGCCTCACCTTTGTGTCCAGTTAGGACATGGATCACCTGCTGTACTTCCATGTCCCACACAGTCACGATGCCATCCTGGCTGCCGACCACCAGCAGCTTCTCTTCCAGGCTCCATGCCATAGCGGTGATGCCTGTGGCCCACAGAAGACAACAGGGAGGAAATTAGTCCCCGTATATGAGCGCTTAGCCAGGAGACCCCCTCATGGACCCCCACGTCACAGATGGGGAAGCTGAGGCATGGGCAGATTCAGTCCCTGTCCAGAGCCACACACCTGGGAAGTAGCAGAACCAGGGTTGAGAACCCAGAGCCATCAGACACCAGACTCAAACCCTGGCTGCAATGTTTACATTGCTCTTAGGAATGAAGCCACAGCTTGGTCACAAGTGTCTCTCCAGCTCAGCATTTCTCACCTGGGGCAATTCTGCTACCCAGGGGACACTGGACTGTTACGTGACAGGGAATTGAACTATTTTATTTTATTTAGGATGTTGCTGTTTGGGCGTTTGTCACAGCATCTGTATCTTAACAAATATACAGTTTTCCATTCAATCAGATTCAGTCTCAGACTCCTTCTGAATACAGCATTCTAGAGGCTGACCGTAAATCAATTCTTCTATTAATTGTACTTAGTGTCTTAGAATTTCTGTTTTGGAAGCACTATGCCTTGGCAGTGTAGCTTTTCCTACAGAGCAGCGTGACATAGAAATGTCCTGAGTCGTAATAAGTGACATTTGAACCACAAACTAATTGTATTCAGTGGCCTCCTAATTAATGTAAGAGGTTGTGTGTGAGCAGAAAATGGAATAGACGAATGGAGGTGGGTTGGTAGGTAAGTAGATGGATATGTGGTTGGTTAGATGAGTGGGTGAGTGAATGGATAGGTATTGGATGGGGAGAGGGATGAATCAATTGATAGATGGGTCAGCGAGCTGATGACTGGCTGAGTGTATGGATGGGCGGAGGGGTGAGTGAGTGGGTGGAAGGCGGCCAGATGAAGGAAATGGAAAGATAAGAGGCGTGGATGCAGGGATGGAAGGAAGGCTAACTGACAGAAGTAGGAATGGTGATGAGTGGATGGATGGATGGATAGGACAGATAGATGGATATATGGATAGAAGGAAGGGGAGAGGGGTGGATGGATGGATGGGCAGATGAATAGATGGATGGAAGGAAGAAAGAAAGGGAGGGAGAAAAGGAGGGAGGGGGAAGGGTAGATGGATGGGTAGATGGATGGACAGAAGGACAGACGGAAGGAAGGAAGGAAGAATGGATGGACAAATAGAGATGGATGAATGGAGAGAATGAAACTCTTTTGTCTCTTTAATGCTCTGCGCCAGGGACTCTACAAGTTCTGTCTGCGTCTCCAGGGCCAGTCGGGCACCAGTCCGTAGCTTCCAGACTTACTAGCATCAACCTGTAAATTGCAGAAACTCTCCATAAGACGGGTGCTAAATGCCTAGAGACCAGGCCACTGAGGCACCTGGCATCCTCTCACTCTGGGCATGTCATTAGCCGTCTTCACACTAGTTGTCGACAGTCCTGGTGGGGCAGAGAGAGTGGGCCAGCGCGAGGCAGCAGGGGCAGCCCTGATGGCACCCGCGGGGCCTCCTGACGGCAGAGGGGAGCCCCAGAGAGCAGCCTGAAACCCTGCCCTCTGCTGCCCCCGGAGAAGGGGGACCTGGCAGCACTTTTGCTACCCTGGGAGACCCACCTTTGTGACAGCCAGTGAGGGTCACCCGGAGGGGCCCTCCTGGGGGCTGGAGGAACCCTCCGAGAGGCACCAGCACAGGGTGTGGGCACACCCGGAACCAGCTCTGGGCCTGTTGGCACAGCCGTCCCACCAGAGCCGGATGCAAGGTGGCGAAGAAATGGAGTCTGGCCAGGACTTCTGTGTACAGGACGCTCCTCTCTGCAACAAAGGGGATCCAGTTAGGGGAGGGGCTCTGCTTTCCTGGGCCAACCCCCCCCCCTTTGCCCATCATCCTCTCCTGCCTGTTACCCACATATATTTGTCCCCACTTCAAGTGTACTAGGGACTTTCCAGCCTTCAGGCCTCTGTCTGAAATGTTCCCCACCTTTCTCATACCAATCATTTCATCCTCATCTTAGTCCAAAGGACACTTCTGAGAAAAGCATTCTCCAGTCAACCTCTGGTCCCGACAGTCCCCAAGCCCAGATCCTACTGCCGTTGCGATCTGACATCCCTTTGTGTGTTTATTCGTGGCCCAGCACCACCCCCTCACTACCCTGGGCCTGGAGGAATAATGTCTGCCTTGTTTATTGTTGTGTTCTTACTGCCTAGAGAGAACCTTATAGATACCCAACAAGTATCTGCTAGAGAAATACTGATCATTTCCCCATCATGTCACAGTTACAGAGCGTATTAGTTTCCTGTGGCTGCTGTAACAAATGATCACAAACTGGGTGGCTTTAAACAACAGAACTTTATTCTCTCCTGGTTCTGGAGACGAGAAGTCCAAAACCAAGTTGTCAGCAGGGCCATGCTCTGTCTGATGGCTCTAGAAGAGGACCTCCCTTGTCTTTTCCAGCTTCTGAGGGCTCTAGGGGTCCTTGGCTTGTGGCTACATCACCCCAATCTCTCCTATCTACATCGCTCCATCTTCACACAGCCTTCTTATCTGTGTGTTTCCATGTTTTCTCCTTTTCTATTTCAATACTCTCTCTGCTTCCTCCTTACAAGGATACTTGTGATTCCATTGAGGGTCCACCTAGATAATCTGGCATGAACTCTCCATCTTAAGATCATGGACTTAATCATATCTTTTGTCATATAAGGTGATTATCATGGGTTTTAGAGGTTAAGAAGTAAATATATATTTGGGGGGTTGGCTGTTTTTCTGCCAACCACACAGAGGTATCATCATTATCACCCCAAGTTTATAAAGGGGAAAATAGGGCCACAGAGAGGTTAAGCAATTTGCATAATGTCACACAGCCAGTCAGAGGCAGGAATCTGACCCAAAGAGTTTGATTCCAGTGCTTAGTAAAGACCAGGAACACTGAAGGTGGACAGTTTATTTTGTCCCTGTTGTTGGCACACCCTAACTGTGGGGCCCCAGACAATGGTAGCAAGGTCCTGTGCCTCGATTGCTATGGGTGAAATGAAGCAGGGCCACGACTAGGAGCAAGTGCCTCACTCATCATGGGTACAAAACTTAAGGTAACACCTATAAACTCAACCGTCAAGATAAATACTATTTTGACGCAATCTTTTAAAAATCAAAATCAATGTACTTCAAACCCATCGTGAACAAAGTATCAATCTTTTAAATAAAAACGGCATCGGAAATGGCACCACACCACCCTGGCTGGCGTGGCTCAGATGGTTGGGTGTCATCTGGCAAAGCGAAAGGTCTCTGGTGGGATTTCCAGATTCACTGATTCCCCGTTAGGCGCAGGCCTAGGTTGCGGTCCCCAGTTAAGGGCGTGCAAGAGGTGACCAATCGATGTTTCTCTCCTTTTTTCCCTGTCTCTAAAAAAATAAAATAAAATCTGAAAGGAAGAAAGAGAGAGGAGGGAAGGAAGGAAGGAAGGAAGGAAAGAAGGAAGGAAGTAAGGAAGAAGGTGGGAGGGAGGTGGGAGGGAGGGAGGGAGGAAAGAAAGAGAGGGAAATGGCACCACACCAAGTCATCCTGGAGCCTGAGACAATATCCACCCCTTTTTCTAAGGAGCTGGAATGTGCGGAGAGCACATGGTTGCCCAGCTGTGTCCTCTGTTGGCAACATTTCTTTCTATTACTCCTTGTGCTGGGGGAGCCATAAATTGTCAATCAAGGATGCTACACAGAACATGCTGTATTTAGGCTTTTAATTCCTCCCTTAAACCAGGCAGTGGTGCCCAAGTGATAGTGCGCAATCACTCCCTGCGAGGTTACAGCTCCCAGTGAGTGTGGACACGCGAGGAAGGCATAGTTAACGGCGAGCACTAGCACCTGCGACTGGGGTGGGACCCTAGACACGCATTAGTTCCATCCCACAATTCACAGATGATGGAAGTTGAGGCTCACCACAGAAATGGCTCGTCCAGAGCCATTCGCATCTATAATATTAATGCTGTCATGTGACAGAAACAGGATCTTTAATGGCATGGTGGAGACAGGCTCTGCATGAACTGACTCACCTAATCATCCAGGCAAGCCCCAGCTGGGAGGGCCTATCATCATCCCATTTTGCAGATGCAAAAGGGAAAACTGAGCACCATAAGGCAGGGGTGGGGTGGAGAGGGTAAGGGACTCTCAAGGGCACACTACCAGTAAGTAGCAGAGCCCTGATTGAAGTCAACACGGACGGGCTGAAAACCCATGCTCTCGGCCAGTGCCGGGCTGTGTGCAGGGGCACAGAGTCGGCAGACAGCAAGTGGAGGACACCCCTACACTCACAGAGCTCAGGCTGGTGGGTCAGTCACATGATGCAGAAAGAAACCCACAGAAATCATAAATAGGAGCTAAGACAGATGCAGCAGGACGCAGTGATGGAAATGCAGGGGCTGGGGGCAGGGAGGCGTCCAGCTTCAGGGGCGGCCGGACAGGCTTCTTGGAGGAGCTGCATTTGGCTGTGCTCTGAGGAAGCCGTGGAAGAGACATAGAAATTCAGCACCTTTTTTAAAAAAAAAAACTTTTTTTTATCCTCACCTAAGGACATGCTTATTTATTTAAAAAACTATTTTTTTTTTTTTTACTGATTTTAGAGAGAGAGGAAGGGAGAGAGAGAAACACTGATATGAGAGAGAAACATCGATTCGTTGCCTCCTGTACATGCCCTGACTGAGGATCGAACCCACAATCTTTTGGTGAATGGGATGACACTCCAGCCAACTGAGCCACCCAGCCAGGGCCAATGCTCGTTTATTATTTTAGAGGGAGGGGAAGGGAGGGAGGGAGTGGGAGAGAAACATCAATGTGAGAAAAAAACATCGATCAGTTTTCTCTCGCACATGTCAAGACCAGAGACTAAACCTGCAGCTTAGGCATATGCCCTGACTGGGGATCGAACCCACGACCTTTTGGCGTACAGACGACACTACAACCAACTGAGCCACACCGGCCAGGACAGACATTCAGCACCTTCGTAAAACCCTCAAATCAAAACCTGGTGGGGATTGTATAATATGATAAAAGCCATTCTGGCCCTATCATACTCATTAGAATGCTTTTATAAAAATCAGAATAAAACAAGTGTTGGTGACGATGTGGAGAAACAGGAACCCTTGGACACTATTGATGGGATTGCAAAATGGTACAGCTGCTACAGAAAAGAGTATGAAAGTTCTTCAAAAAGTTAAACATAGGATTACTATATGCCTCAGAAATCCCAAAAGAATTAACTGCAGTCCTGCAAGGGCACCTGCATACCCATGTTTACAGCAGCATTATTCACAACCAGGTAAGCGTCCATCCTGGGTGAACAGATAAGCAAAATGCAGTCCATCCGTACATTAAAAACGGAGGACGTTCTGACACATACTATGACATGGATGTAACTTGAGGACACTATGCTGAGTAGAGTGAGCCAGTCACAAAAGGGCAAACACTGTGTGACTCCAGTGATACGAGGTCCTTAGGGGAGTCGGGTGCAGAGAGCAAAGTGGACGGGCAGGCGCTGGGGCTGCGGGAGGGGGCTGGGGCGTTAGCGAGCGGTCCGTGGGGACAGCTTCAGTATGGGAGGGCGAGAAGTTCTGGGGGCGGAGGACGGTTACAGAATGACGTGAGTGACTTGATACCACTGAACCGTGCGCTTGAAAATGACTGCAATGGTGGATTTGATGTTACATGTATTTTAACACAATTTAAAAAAACAAACAAACAAACAAACAAACAAAATACCATCCTGGACAGGGCATCAGCTGAACACTCAGAGATTCTTCAGCCTCCAGGGCAGCCCAACGACTTGCCTGAGAGCCAAGAACGACTTTTACAGGCCAATGTGCACAACCCATGGAAGGACAGGAAACACCGACTCTGACCCACAATTAAGCAAAATTGTTATACCCCAGAACAAGAATTCCCTTGTCTTTATCATTAGTAGACCTGAGTTACCAAAAAGCCATGCTCATTATTATAATTATTTTTTGAATTTCATCAATAAAAAATATGTGGGAATGTGTTGTCTCTCCTGTTATATTAAGTATTGGTATCATTTCCTTGATTTTACCTGAAATATCACCTATCTGGTCCTTTCTAAAAATAGGTGTTGGGCTGGGGGGCAAGGGGATAGGCACTCCAAAGCTCTCCCGAGTTCGCTTTAAAGTTCTAGAGGCTGCGCAGCGAGAAACCCCAAAGACGCAGACAGGAAGGGTGTGCGGGTTAATGACAATCCGGCCGGCGGCGCGGTGAGGACAGTGAGCTTCCAGTGCTCAGTACAGAGCGGACCCCGCCAGGCCTGCCCCACTCACCCATGCCTCGGAACTCCACGGCTGGGCGGCACAGCTGGAGGGCTTCTCGCACCAGGCCCACCTCGGGGCAGTCCACGTGGGGGGCGTACAGGTCAAAGTCATCCAGCAGGCTCTCGATGCCCCCGGAGACGCCCCGGCAGGAAATCCAGTCCATGCTGCCTGCGGGGAGGGAGCGGGTGTCGGGAGCACGTGCCTCCCTGCAGTTCATTCTGGGAGGTGGGCTCCCACCTCTCCAGCTCTCCCAGGGGTTCTCATTCTTGGCGCTGCTGACACTGGGCCGGGTGATCCTCTGCGGTGGGCGGTCCTGTGCACTGTACAGTGTTGAGGAGGATCCCTGGTCTCCACCCACCCAAGGCCAGTAGCTTCCCCGCAAAGTCATGATAATCAAAATCACAAATATTGCCCATAGGGGGTAAAATGTCCCCTGGTTGAGAATCACAAAGATGAATAATAAAGGGGGAGAGAGAGGGAGAGAAAAAGAGAGAGAATAGGCAAATAGATGGATAGACAGACGGCTAGATAGATAATGAATGGACAGACATAAACATGATAGACAGAGATGATCATGAGAGAGAGAAATGATAGCTAAGTAGACAAACATAGATGGTAGGTAGAGACAGAAATGATAGCTAATAGACAAAAAGAAAGATGGATGGATAGACCATAGATGGATAAATAGATATAAAGATGATAGAAAGATATAGATGAGACAGAAATGATAGATATGATAGGGAGATATGATTGATAGATACAGATAAACAGAGATGGAGACAGTTGAGACATATTGATAGACAGGGCCTCTATTCTAAGGCTCACCTCTGTACTATCAAGTCGCACTCGATGCCAATAGCACCCCCTCCCTGGCAATCAAAATATCTCCAGACATTGTCAAGTGTCCCCTGGAAAGGAGGTGCAGAGCCGCACCAGGTGAGACCCAGTCCACTAGGAGGAGCCAAGGATTTTGACTTTTGCCCTCACTCTTCCCAGGCTCTGGAAAGGGTGCACGGTGGAGGGCTGAGATCTGCTCCATCTCCTCCGAGGAGGGGTGGTGAGGGGCTTACCCAGCACCTCCTGCTTCAGCTCCTCGATGCGGCCTGAGTGGAGCAGGTGATGGGGCAGCTCCTTCAGCTTCCGCAGGTTTGCAACAGTGTCTGAGAACCACAGGGGCTGGGGGGCCACCTGCAAGGAGGAGGGCATGGCAGCCAGGCTGCCACCACAGGCGCTCATTCATTCGCTCCACACACACGAGCCAGGCTGGGCGTGATGTGATGCTGCAGGGAACGGCGACACAATTCCAGACAGAGACGCCCTATATACATCGCAAGTTGGGCTGGGGCAGAGAGAGGGATGTGGGGCTCAGGAAATCCAAGGGGCACTGGAGCACAGCCTCAGAGGGTAAGGAGAAGTCTGTCTTGTGAAATGTGTCAGAAAACAATGGGATTCCTGGGCAAAGGAATGGCATGTGCAAAGGTCCAGAGGCGGGAGAGAGCAGGATGAGAGGTTTGGGAGGGCTGAATTATAAGGCAGAGTAGGCAGTCATGGTGGGGAATGAGGCGAGGGCGTTTGTACGCAGAAGATCATGAGTATCAGGCTGGGGGTGGGGGCTGGGCAGAACACCAAGGGCTCTAGGGAGCCATGGGGGGTGTTAAGGGAGAGGCATGATCAGATTGCATGTCAGAAGCATTCCGTGGGAAGATGGACTGCAGCAGGAGGTCCTGAGGCTGGGAGGCCAGGAAGGAGTACAGACCACGTCCCAGAGGGAAGAGATGAGACTGAGCCCGCAGGGGTTCTGGGCACAGAGAGAAGATCTGTGAGTTATCAGAGAGGAGAAAGGGCAGCACCAAGAAACAGTCAGGCCGGACCCTGCCTCTGGCCTCCCCCGTCCATCTGGGGAGACAAAGTAAAGAAAAACTTAATGACAACAAAAGGCTTCCAAGTGTATTTGCTAGTTGTAATCAATGTGCTACAGTTATGGAAGATGTTAATTAACAGCAGGGGAAGCTGATGGAAGTGTCTGTCGGAACTCTCTGTACTCCATTGGCAACTCTTCTGCAAACCTAAAATGATTTCAAAACTGTAAGTTTTTAAAAACATGTAAGTTCTGCCTCAGAGTGAAGGGAACGCGAAGTAATCGGGAAAGGAGGAAACCTGGAAGGCTTCCTGAAGGAAGAGGCATTTGAGTTGGGCCTGTAAAGTGTTTGAAAGGTAAAAAATAGGGGGCAGCATACCAGCTAAGGATGCCAAGTCCTAGAGCTCCTAGGCACAAAAGAAGGACTGGAAGGAAATATGTGAATAGTGACTTGGTCTTGCCCGCAGGGCAGGGTAGAGGTTGCAGGTGGGGAACAGGGGTGCAGACACCTCACCTTGCGGTCCAGGTTCAGGGGCTTCCCCACCAGTGGCAGGGTGATGAGTTTCTTGGTGCCCTGGCTCCAGGTCCCCAGGAAGAAGTCGGCCAACATCCCGTGCCTCTTGGCTTTCTCAGGCCCTGACAAGTAGCGCTCTCGGATCACCTCCGCCAGCTGTCTGCAGAGATGGGACAGGGACTGGTGGGTTTGGGGGACCGGGCAAACTCATAGCTGGCCACCAGCCTTCCAAGAGGCAGTTCCCAAATGCATGTCCATCCTAAACCACCATCCAGATGCTCACAAAGTTTGCCGACCCCCTAACATCTATCTCTAAATCGGCCCATCTTATTCTCCTCCTCAAATAAATTGACTTTAAAAAGGAACTGTTTGAGTTCTCTTGTTAACCATAAAATAAGTTACTATATGACCCAGCAATTCCACTCTTGGAATTATACCCAGTATATATATCTACTCCAAGTATTTACCAAAAGGATTGAAAAACTTGTACACGCAAGTTCATAGCAGCACTATTCATGTTCGCCAAAAGGTGGAAACCGCCCAAATGCCCATCAATAGATGAACAGAGAAATGGTGATACATCCATACAGCCATGAAAAGGAATCAAGCTTTGACACACGCTACCAGGTGGGTGAATCTCAAAAACATGATGCTGAGGGAGAGAAGCCAGACACAGGAGACCACACGTTGTGGGATCCCATCTCTGTGAAATGTCCAGAACAGGCAGGTCCTCAGACAGAGAAACTGGGTCAGTGGCTGCCAGGGGCTGAGAGGGGGATGGGGAGTGACTGCTCATGGGGATGGGGTTTCCCTTTGGGGTGACGAAAATGTTCTGGAACCAGGTAGAGGTGAAGGTTGCACAACATCATGAATGTACTAAGTGCCACCGAATCGTTCACTTTAAAATGGTTAATTTTATGTTCTGTGAATTTCTCCTCAATTTAAGAAACCAGTTAGTTGCATTCGAGTCAATCAGTGCATAGAAACCCTTGAATGCTGTGCCAAGTGGGCCTGAATCCCAGGAATGGGGGCACAAGAGCATTTGGAGGACCCCGGTCAGTGAGGTCTGGCTCTTGGGCACCCAGTCAGCGTCATCTCCGCACTGGACCTACCTGGGGGCGATGGCCAGGAGCGTGAAGCCGTCCATGGGCCGCCTGGCCAAGCAGTTTCCCAAGTCACGTCGGAGCCTCACCCACAGCAGGGGTGGGAAACGCAGCAGCTCCCTGCTGGGCGGGGTCCAGTCCTGGTACACAACTTGCAGGACCTCATCGTCCAAGGACAGGACATCCTTCAGCTCGGCCTCTGAGAGCCCGTGCCTGCGGGGAGGAGGGATGGGAAACACACTCGTGTCTCCTGCATGTGAAGGACACAGATGCCAAGGGAGGGAAGGCCGTGCCCAGCAGCACAGTGTCCTGCACGTCACCAGAGGGTTTTCCCTGAGGATCGGCATTTGGACAAAGCCCAGACCCAGTGGGCGCCAGCGACCGGTTCCTCCTGATCTTTCACACACAAAGCCTTTCCTGATCTTTCCTTCCGTATGCACACAGCTACAGAACCTCAGATCATCCCCTTCCCAGGGGAGGACAGGGAGGGAGGGAGGAGGTAACTTAGGGAAATAATGCACCCCGTGTTCCCTGGCCTGAGAAAGGGCTGAAAGAGAGAAAGGGAGTGGCTTTAAACAGCACTACCAACTGGAGTTTTGGTGCTGAACTGAACGGACTTCCTAACGCCTGCGAGCCTGCGGCGGGAGAAGCTGTGTGTCTGCCTGCAATGAGAGCCCTGCAGGGATGCAGAACATCAGAGTTTGTGCCAGAGGAGAGAGGGGAGGCAGCTTCTGTTGCGCCTCACTGGGTAGAAACGTTTCTTGTGGATTTTTAAAAATTCTCTGATGTTGAGCAAAGTTCTCACTTTGATCAAGACGCTTGCCACATTCTTCACATATACAGAGTACCTGCTGACTTAGACTTTTCTGATGTATGACAACGGGCCTCAGCACTGGGGGAGGGGGGCGGGGGAGAGAGCGAGCGAGCAAACAGGGTCTCTCAGGCTAGGGCAGACTTTCACTCAGCACTACGGACGCTTGGGGCTCCATCGTTCTCCGTGGGGGTGTCCTGTGCACTGTAGGGTGCTGAGCAGCGTCCCTGGTCTCCATCCTTCGCTTGTCAGTATCTCCCCTCCCCTGCCGTTACGACAACCGAAATGTCTCCAGGCATCACCGAGTGTTGCAGGGGCGGGGGCGAGGTACAGCCTCCCCAGGTGAGAACCACTGGCCCGGCAGAGCTCACGTCTGCTCTGAGAGCCTGGCCCTCGGCCATCTGCCATCACACCGCCCTGACTCCGTCTGCAAACATGACGTATTTCCATGCTCCCGGAGGCACTGAATCCACCTCCCCATCATTGCCATCTTTCCACTGCCTTTCCCACCCAGAGGAGAGGGGTCCTACACTCTGTGAAACCCCCCTGCTTTACTAATTGGATCAGACACAGAGCCAAAAAGGGCCAATTGATGTCTGTCTCCCCGGAGTTTGCAATCAGGACTCAGGAAGGAGCCAGGACAATGGCATCGGGTGCCTGAAATGGGAGCTCGCGCTGCCGACAGAAGCTTGAGGCGAGCTAAAGTTCTGGGGAGCAGAAAGGAAGAGTCTGGAACAAAAGCTGATGTGCAGAGAGGATCCAGAGGGAGAGGGGATGAGAAACTGCCCTGATCCTTGTGGCTTGCCGGTTTCCATGACAACCCTGCTTCCTCCACAGAGACATCATCAGAGTGGCCTGATGGCCCAACCCCTTTATTCTGGAACTTTCCCCAGTCTAGCTTTGTAGATGCCAGGCCAGGCCCCCATTTGGGGTGTGCCCCTCTGGAGGTGGACATGGGGTGGCCCTCGCCTCCGAGCTCCCCCCATGGCCGTGGCATGAAGCCCTTATTTCTTATGCTGTTAGGGTGAGTGGTATTCTCTTCCTGGCAAACCAGCCAGCCAACCAACCAACGCAAAGCCCCCTCACTGAACCCCGCCCATCTTGCTCCATCTGTGGTGAAAGGCAAAGGTCGCAAGGAGGAAAACTGCCCCCAAACTGGGAGGAGCCGAAATTGCATTGTCAAGTATTTCTGATTATGGGCTCCGGCATTCCTGACAGCTGTTTTTATGAAGGCAAAGCTCTACTGTCTGGTGTGTTGCTAATTGGCCTCGTCCCCCTCCTGGGGGCGGGAGCTCGGCTGCTGGATGTCTGAGGAACACAGTCCTCTCTCTCCTGCTCATTATTTCTGACTCTCCGCCTGCGCCCCGCCCCCGCACCTGTGAGCAGTTGCTCCTGACCCTCCTGACTCTCCTGACCCCTGAAACTTCCTCTGGGCTGAGCAACCTCATTTAAGCCTTCATTCCTTAAACTCTATAAACACACTGGAACTGGATTTTCCTGGTGGAGCGTTGCTGGCTCTCATGCTACAAGCCTGAAATTGGATGTAGACAGAGGCTTGCGGTTGATTCTTCAGAGAAGCGTTTTAAGGAGGTTTTTCTGAGATCTCCCCCACATGTTGTTTATTAATTACAAAGGGGAGCATTGCTAACTTACAGTGGGAAAAAATCGGTACCCAAGAAGGGCCGAGCATCACTCAGGTTTGCCCTGGAAGTGAGCACCAGGAAACATCAGACCAGACCAGGCGGCTGGAGCTGCAGCCCTTCCCCGCCCTGCACTGTGCTCCCCAGACCAGCGGCGTAGCTGGGAGAAAATGGGGACCCGGGCCCCAACCAGACTTGCTGAGCCAGAGTCACTATTCAAAAACAAGACAAGGATAAATATATCCATTAAAAATTGAGAAATGTGGCCCTGGCTGGTGTGGCTCTGTGGATTGAGCACTGGCCTGTGAACCAGAAGGTCACTGGTTCAAGTCCTGGTCAGGGTACGTGGCTGGGTTGTGTGCCAGGTCCCCACGTGGGGGTATGTGAGAGGCAAGCTGGTTGATGTATCTCTTACACATCGATATTTCTCTACTTCTCTTTCTCCTTCTGTTCCCCTCTCTCTAAAAATAAATAAAATCTTAAAAGAAAAATTGAGGAATGTGGCCCATACTCTTCAAAAGAACAAAGACAGGAGAATGTTCTAGATTACAGGATACCAAAGAGATGACAACTAAATGCAATGTGTGATCTTGAATTGGCAGCTATAAAGGACATTTTGAGACAATTGCAAGTTTTGACAATAAACCGTGTGTTAAAAAATATTATTGTGTTGGTGACACATTTCCTGAGTTTTATAATTATCCTGTGACAATGTGGGGTTCTGATTGTCCTTGTTCTTCAGAAATATGTGACATATTTAAAGGTAAAGAGGAATGATGCCTGTAATGAATTTTCAAATGGTTCAGGGAAAACTGTGTGTGTGCATCTATAAATAGATAGAGCTAGAGACAGAGATTAGATAGAGATAAAAAGAAAAAAGAAAGATATAATGATAGATAAATAAGAAGAAGGATTATAAATGAAAGAAAAATAGCTAGTTATAGGAAAACAAGTGATAGGTCAGGAGAAAAATAATAGAAAATAAATAATAAAGAAAAATAATAGAGAGATAGACAGATAGGAAAACAGAAGGAGGGAATGAAGGAAAAGATTGGTAAGTAAATGAGAGAGGGAGAAAGAGGGAGGGCGGGAGAGGCAAAGGATGCGGAGCAGCTCTCAGCCAGAGCCCGTGCTGCCTGCAGGGGGCACTGGGCAACATCCTGAACCGGGGTTGGTGTCGCGATGGGGCCGGGTGCCACCGGCATCTGTGGGTCGGGGCCGGGGAGGCCGCTCGCCTGCGTAAGGTGCACCGGCGGCCCCCACGCACTGCGAGGAGTGATCCGGCCCCATTGTCAGCAGTGCCAAGGCCGAGAAAACCTGATGTACGGATATTCTTTGCGCTATTTTTTGCACTATGGGAGTTCTTTCAGGAGTCTATAATTTGAGTATATTTCAGAGTAAAAGTTTTACAAAAGAAACATTATATTTCTGTCTCCAGAGAGACATACAGCAGAGGGAGGCAGAATAGGGAGGGACTGGTAATGCGGATGGGGTCTGCTTTGGGGGCGACGAAATGTTCTGGAGATGGATCGTCGGTTGTGCAACACGGGGAATGCACAACATGTCACTGCAATGCACGGTTTAAAAAAATGACCGTTATGGGCCCTGGCTGGGTAGCTCAATTTGTTAGAGCATCGTCCTGGTACGCCAAGGTTGCAGGTTTGATCTCCACTCCAGGCACATACTTGTACAAGCAGCAACCAATTAATGTATAAATAAGTGGAACAACAAATCTCTCTCTCTCTCTCCTTTCCTTTCTCTCTGTACAATCAATAAATAAAAATTTAAAAAATAAAAGTGAACTTTATGATACACGAATTGTTTTGGGTCAAACAGTGTTTCCCCAAATTAACATCCAAGTGGAACCTGTGAATGAGACCTTATTTAAAAACAATCTTTGGGGAATAATCAAGATAAAATGAGGTCCTTCTGGATTAAGGCGGCCCCAACCCAATGAGCAGTGTCCTTGCAAGAAGAAGGAGATGCTGACAGAGAGACACACACAGGGGGAGGCCAGGAGGCGACAGAGGCACAGGTCAGAGCGACGCGTTTACAAGCAAAGGGACACCAAGACAGGCCTAGAACAGAGCCTCCTGCGGCACCTGGGCGCAGCCCCGCTGGCACCACGCTCCCAGACTTGCGGACCCCAGCACCGTGAGAGCAGCAGTTTCTCCTGTTCTCAGCCAGCCACCCAGTTCGGGGTTTGGGGCGGCGGCCCTAGGAGACGGCTGCATGCCTCACACCTCAGTTTTGTAACGAGGTGAACGTGGAGAACAGAGAACCTGTGAGCACCGTTGGCGGGATTGTAAATTGGTGCAGCCACTGTGGATGACAGTATGGAGGTTCCTCAGAAAATTAAAAATAAAGCTGCCACATGGACCCAGCAATGCCACCTCCAGGTATTTATCCAAAGAAGTTCAAAACACTGATTCAAAAAGACATATGCACCCCTGTGTTCATTGCAGCATTATTTACAATAGCCAAGATGTGGAAACAACCTAAGTGTCCATCAGTGAATGAATAAAGAAGATGTATATATACAATGGACTATTACTCAGCCATAAAAAAGAATGAAATCTTGCCATTTGTGACAAGCTGGATTGACCCAGAATATAGTATACTAAGTGAAATAAGGGAGTGAATGACAAACACCACGTAATTTAGCTTATAGGTGAAATCTAAAACACAAAACAAATAAATAAACCAAACAGAAACAGACCCACAGATGCAGAGAACAAGCTGACGGTTGCCCAAAGGGAGGATGGGGGAGGGCTGGGAAAGAAAAACTATGTGATCTAAAACAAAGCTGTATTGAAACTAATAATAGAACAGCAATAATAAGAGAGGTCAAATTAATATTGTAAACTTTTATCAGATTCCCTCAGGTCTGTAAAAGTTTTCCCGTGAGGTCTTCTGAAAATTTTGCTGTTTTCAAAACACTAAAAATAATTTTATGTGTAAAAAATAAGGTGGAAATGTATAAAGGACCCATGGACAAGGACAATGGGGAGAGGATTGAATGCGCAGAGGTGGGCAGGGCAGGGGAGAGCCATGGGGAAAAATGGGGACAACTGGGACTGAACAACAATAAAAAAAAATGTTTAAAACATAAGGCAGAAAGCACCTTTCAAAACAATGCATCGTAACTAATGCTTCTCAGTAATATATATTAAAATGTATGAGTTGTACATTAGATTGCAACATTAAATCATATTTACTTTTAAGAGAGGGACTTTTGTGTAGCCTGTTTTATATTTTTCTTGTACATGAGCTCTGTTCACTAGCATAAAAACTAAAATTAATCCAGAATGTTTTTAAATGAGTGAGCCCTGGCCAAGTGGCTCAGTTGGTTGGAGCGTTGTTGATTTTCTCTCTCTCCCCCTTCCTTCTTTCTAAAACCAACAAATATATCCTTGGGTGAGGATTAAAAATAACAACAACAACAACAACAACAACTAAAAGTAAGTGTAAAAACAGAGACTCACCGGGAAGACACAACGTAGCCGAGCACTCGGGCCACCAGGAGCTGCCCGTGGGTCTGCTCCAGGCGCGCACACAGCTGGTGCATCGCCTCCATGGCTGTGGAGGCCAGAGGGGTGGGCACAGTGAAGGAGGCCCACTTTCGGGCCTCCTCGAAGGCCAGCCTCAGCTGCCCCGGATGCCCGCACTCCGGGAGGCTGGCCCAGAGCAGATCCCTCTGCTCTGGGCTCAGTGTCCTCCTGGAGGCTGCCAGCAGGCGCTGGATCATCTCTTGCCCTTGGTTGCTGGAGAGGGGTTTCACTTCCCAGTAGGACGTTGGGTCCGTGAGTGTCTGCTGCACCGTGTCTAAAACTCCCCGCTGCCCTGAGCAGGCCGAGATGATGAGGTGGACCCTCGGGGGGCACTGGGGAGGCAGCCAGGGGACCCTCCAAGCACGGTGGATGGAGTCCACGTCATCCACAGAGTCTAGCAGGATCACAAGGGACTCAAAGTTTCGGCAGGAGATAGTGTGCAGGAGGGTGTGGAAAAAATGGAGCACCCTGCTGTGGGCCTCCAGGACCTGGGCAGGAGGCAAGGGCAGCCCGTAGGCCAGGCACACCTGGAAGCAGATGCTCTGGAGCAGGCTACGGGCGTCACAGCTCATCTGCGATGTCCCCAGAAGCCGCAGAACAGTCACCGTCTTGCGGCCCAGCAGCCCTGGCATCTGCTCGGCCAGCTTGCACATCAGAGCCGTCTTTCCAATGCCTGGGGGTCCGAAAAGCACCAGGGGTGTGTGCGCGTGGCTGTCACTCTGCCGGAGTCGCTGTCCCACCTGGGCCAGGAGCTCTTGGCGCCCGCAGAAGGTCCTGGTGGCCTCGGCACTCAGCCCCAGATGGTGGCGGATCTCCTGGTAGAGCCATGCCAGGTCCTGCCTGCCAGCCTCCAGCTCCCGGAGGCGCTCGAGGACCTGGTGGTTAGCCCTGGCCACAAACTGCTCTCCCAGCTCCTTCAGGTACCGGGCATGAGCCTTATTTTTGGGGTTCACCAGGTCGCGACTCCATGGCAGGTGGTGGGCCTTGAGGACCCCGGGCTGCGTGTCAGCGATGCGCCCCTTGAGGCTGCTGAGAAGGTTCTGGGCATCCGTGTCCAGGCAGCCATCTGCGAGCCGGTCCACCGTCTTCAGGGCACAGTCTTCCAGGATGTGTTTGTTAAGGTCTTGGATCTCTCTCAGGAAGACAGTGGCCCCCTGGTCCCCATCTGTCGAGCTCAGCAGGCCCCTTTCTATCTCCCACTCGATGACTGAAAAGTGGAGGAGATGGGAAGAGAGTGCGGTCATCGTGTCATCACTTGGCCTGAGTGGCGGCACTTGGGAGACAATTTGGGAAGTGGGGATATTGGTTCTGAAGCTCAACATGCACCTGAGTGACAGGTCTTAACCATAAACAACATGCAAACGAATATTCTCTAGTATGTTCCAATAAAACTTTATTTACAAAAACAAAAGGTGGGCTAGACTTGGCCCTCAGGCCATTGTTTGCCAGACCCTTGTCCCAGGGAAGGTAGCAGCTGCCCTGAGAACCCATACTTTCCAGAACCAAAGGCCCACGCTGACTTTTTCTTGGAGGCTGTTATTTGAAAACAGTGGTCAGACCCAAGAAGTTATTTCTGAAGCGGCCTTGCACTCAGCTGAGGCTCCTAGCTCTCTGCAGCTGAGTGAGCCAGGCCCTGAGAGACAGGACTTAGTCTCTGAGCCAAAGACAAGAGCCACACAGAAGTCCTTTTGGAGTGACCCCACACCCACCTCAGCCCTGCGTACAGAGGTCAGAGGTGTGAAGACAACTAACAGTCCCAAAATGGGATCCGTCTTGGACACAGCTCAGCGTGAACCAATCCAAGGCCATCTTTGAGCTGTGTGACTTTGTGCAAGTCAGTGCACCTCTCTGAATCTGTTCCTCTCCTGTGACGTGGATGTACCATCGAAGCTTGTGGGGCTGTTGTGAGGATTTTCTATGAATTAATGCTGGTGGAAAGCTGAGCACATAATGCGGAAGGAACAAAGCCAATCTCAAAAGATTACAGACTGTGCAAGTGCATCGACTATAACATGTTCAAATAAAATTACGGAGATGGAGAAGAATTAGTGGTTGCCATGGGCTGGGGGATGCGGGGAGGGGTAGGTGAGTCTCTGAAGGAGAGCACAGTCCTATGCATTGGCTGTGGTGGGTCCTTAAGGCCACACAGGTGATAAAATTGCGCAGACTGAGATACACATGCACGGGTCTATGCACAGGCACACACACGCGTATGCCTGTAAACGTGGTGCTCTCTCTGGACTGTAGTGATGTCCACTTCTAGGCTGTAATACTGTACTCTAGTTTTGTAAGCTGCTACCTTTGGGGGAAACTGGGTAAATGATGGTGGTCACAAAAAAGTCACCAGAACGTAAAGTACAGCATAGGGAATACATGTAGTTGATAACATTGGAATAACTATGTACGGTGCCAGGTGGGTACTAGACCCCTCAGGGGATCACTCTGTAAACTGTGTAAGTGTCTAACCACGGTGCGGTACACCTGAAACTAATATAAAATAATATTGACTGTCAAGATAATAAATAAAAAGCAGATCCCCAGGCTCGTGCTCTCTCTCCCCCTCTCTCCGCCCCCACGTACCTTGCTGTGTACCCCCTGGCATGCCTTGCCCACTCAAGGGCCTGCAGGTAATAAACTCTTTTGTCTTTAAAAATAAAAATAATAAAAAGGATTCGTGGAACCTCTTCCTGCTATTTTTTAAAAGACCTTATTTATTTATTTTTAAAGAGATGGGAAGGGAAGGAGAAAGAGAGGGAAAGAAATATCGATGCGAGAGAGAAACATCAATCGATTGCTCCTTGTATGCACCCCGACCGGGGACTGAACTCGCAACCCTGGCATGTACCCTGACTGGGAATCTAACTAGAGACCTTCCGTTTTGTAGAATGAAGCCCAACCAACTGAATCAGATAGGACAGGGCCTGTTCCTACTATTTTTTTCTTCAATGTCCTGTGAATCTCTAGTTCAAGATAAAAAGTTTTTTTGAAAAAAAAAACAACCAAGGTATCCAGACAGTAACATACCCTGCAACACCATTGCTGACATGCATTGTGCTTCCTGCCACTTTCAAGGAGTTTCTATTTGTTCTTTCAGGTGGGACTTCTCAATGGGCTAAGTTAGGCACTGCTGCTCAGAGCTGGAATGAGGTCATAGATGAAACACGACCCTTTAAACCCCACAGTGACTCCATGACGTACTAACTCCCACTAGCCCCCTTTTGAGGCGAGAAAGCCGAGGTTCTAAGCGTGCCAGAGGTCAATACAGCTGGAAGGGGACCAGGCTGAGCTGTAAATCCAGCCTTGTCCCAAAGCACAGACCCTGGACACTGAGTACGGCCTCGATGGCAGACGTGTCATGCTGGCTTGGCACTTAGAGAAACGCGGGCCGTGGCTTTTGGACCACACTCAATGTGCTTTCTGAACACGTGGGCGTTTCCCATGGGTCCCGAGGGCAGCCCCGCCACCTCACCTGACCGGTGGTAGCGATGCCACTGCTCCTGGGTGATGAGGCCCAGCCTCCTGGCTTCCTGGGCTCCGCAGCGCAGCACAGAGGTCAGGGTGGGCTCCTCGGGCCCCTGGGTCTTCCCGGTGCCCAGGGCCTGCAGCACGTAGGTGGGGGGCACGGCGTTCTCGTCCCTCCAGAAGTGGTGAGCCACCAGCTCCAGGTCACCTGGCCTGGTGGTCAGCTGGGCCTTCAGGGCCTCCCACTCCTTCTCCTCGATCAGCGTGGGTACTGGACAGGGGCCGTACTGGTCCCCTAGGAGGGCCTGGCAGAGCAAGCGTAGAGAGAGGGGCGCAGGTTCCGATCTTGGCCCTGGCACTTAGGTCTATGGCCCCTGGTGAGGCACGCAGAGCTCCTAACGACGGGTTTGGCCGTAGCGCCATGTGATGATTGCATTAAGAGGCACAGGCCAAGACAGCACCTGCGTGTGGAAGTACCTGACATCATGGGACGCAAGGCAGGCAAATTTGGAATCTGATGGAGCACAAAGCATCACAGAGTGTTTTGTGGGGAAATCCTCCGTGGTAGTTGAATAGCGGCCCCCCACAAAGACAACTGGTCCTAAACCCTGGACCCTGTGAATGTACCTTTAATCAAAAAAAGGTTGTGATGGTTACATTTATGTGTCAACTTGACTGAGCAAAGGGACACCCGGAGAGTGGGCCGAGCGTGATTTCTGGGTGTGCCTGTGAGGGTATCTCTGGGGGGGAAGAGCGTTTGGTTGGTGGGCCGAGTAAAGCAGAGGGCCCTCCCCGGTGCAGGTGGGCCTCATCCAGTCCGTCGCGGGCCCCGCAGAACAAAAAGAAGGAGGAAGGGCGAATTTCCTCTCTGCTTGAGCTGAGATATCTGTCCTTGGACATCGGTTCTCAGGTATTCAGACTCAGGTGGGGATTTATTCCATCTGTCCCTCCAATTCCCGGGCTGAATTATACCACCAGTTTTCCTGATCTCAGCTTATTGACAGCATGCAGTGGGTTCTCAGCCTCCATAATCATGTGAGCCATTTCTATAACATTTTCTTTCTTTCTATCTACCTACCTACCTAACCCATTGGTTCCATTTCTCTGGAGACCCCTGATGAATACAAGGGTCTCTGCTGATGTGATTAAGTTAAGGGTCTTGAGCTGGGGAGAATATTCTGGATTATTCAGATGGGCCCTAAATCCTGAGTCTTGAATAAGACACAGGTAGAGGGAGATGTGACACAAACAAAAGAGGAATAGATGATATAACAACGAAGCCAGAGATTGGAGGGATGCAGCCTCAAGCCAAGGAATGCCGGGAGCCCCCAGAAGCTGGCCGGGACGAGGAAAATTCTCCCTGAGAAATTTAGGCGGGAGTGTGGCCCTCCCTATACCTTGATTTCAGACTCCTGGTCTCCAGACCACGAGAGAATAAAGTCTGTTGTTTTAAGCCACAGTTTAAGCCATGGTTTGTGGTCGTTTGTTGTAGCAGCTCCAGGACACCCACATTTCCCTTCATTGTACATCAGAGAAAACGGGGGCTCCTTGCATGGAGGCACTGGGCCGCCCCAGGAATGGGGCTGGGACAGGAGTGACAGCCTCCATGGGCTCTGCCCAAACCCCATGCTGTGCGGTGGCCCTGGGGACAGGACTGTCTCCAAGAGCAGCCGGGGAGCAGGCCCACGGAGGGGAGGTAAACGTGGGTCTCAAAACTGCAGGAAGAGTCCTGTCTTTATTAAGAATTTTGATATTTTGTTCCTCATGCATTTTTTGGATCAATTTTGATTAAAAAAAAAAAACACTGTATTAAAATACTTATTTTGATAACTAAGATATTTTGGCGCCCCCTTAAATTTCGTGCTGGAGACAAGTGCCTTGCTCTCCTCCCAGCCCCTCCAGGGAGAATTAGAACTGTTGCAAGTTTCAGGAAACCCCAAGTCCTGCTTCCTCCTTGTTGGATGTAGAAATGAAGGCCCCAGGGAAGGTGCCAAGTTGGAACTGGCCTGAGGTCAGGGACTTGAAAGGGCCAACTAGGAAGGCAAGGGAGGCCCCAGTGAGGAGTCTCTGAGTTCTGAGCACAGTCATTCCCCAAATACTTATTGAGCTAAGCCCATGATAGCTGCTCCAGAGACAGCAGTGACCAATATATGGTCTTGGTCCTTGCCTTCCTGGACCTTGGAGTCCTAACAGGAGAGCCAGGCATCAATCTGAAAATGGCTCCAATGTCAAAGTACAGGTGACCTGGTGCTAGAAAGAAAGGATAAACATGAGTCACGCAGGGGCTGTGGGATCAGGAACATTCCCCTGAGGAAGTAAGGATCAAGGTGCAGAATAAGATATGAGAAGACCGCACTGGGCAGAGAGCCTGGCAAACAGCAAGAACAGCATGTGCAAAGGCCCTGTGGCAGGAAGTGCAGGCAGGTACAAGCAGGGGAAACAGCATGTTCCAGTACAGGGAAGCCAGGGGAACTGAAGGACCGACAAGGAGGGAGCAGTGTAGGGAGAAAAGGACATCCTGTGGGCAAGATTCTGTGGGGTGTGGTGAGGCCCCAAGATTTTGGTCCTAGTGCTGAGAGCACTAGGAGGCCCTCTCTCTGCCCCGACATGTTCAGAGAAAGTGCAAACTAGAATGCAAGAGAATTAGGCCGAGGATATCGGCCAGAAGTCTTCAGTGTCCTCATAAAATACAAGCAACCGCCGCCCACCTTCATTGGGTTGTTCCAGAATATTCCCGGGGTGTGCACCCAGGAGACCTGGATAAATGGACTCTACGATGACAGGAGGTTGAAGAGGATGCTGTTTTCCTGGGGTCTTCCCAGCAGCGAGAGCCGTGGAAGAACAAGGGACATTGAGAAAGATGTCACTAGCCAGGCACAGAACAGAGATCTTAGGAAGGAGACCGGTGGTTTAAAAAACAAAAGCAAAAACAAAAAACTGCTCGGGTCTGGGGGACCAGAGCAAGGGGAGCAGGGAGAGCTGCACGGGAGACCAAGGATCCAGCAGGGCACCTCCATGGAGCCCCGGTGCCCCAGGAGACCCTGAGCCGTGCGGAGCGCCTGGCGAGAGGTCCCCAGCCAGGCCGCCTAATCACTTATTTACCAGAGAGGAGCGACCCCAAGGGCCCCAGCACAGCTCCGACTTTCATGGAAAGCTCCCCACGTCAGAGCCACTGAAAGAGAATGAAGCCGTGGCTCTCAGCGGCGGAGGGCGGTGCCCGACACAGGAGGAAAGCAGGGCGTGGGTCGAGGTCACCCAGCCCTCTGCCCGAAGAGCCGTATGAGAGGGACTTGCATGGTCCCTGGGCCGGAGGGGCCTGGGGGAAGCTGGAGACCATCCTCCGTTCCCCACGTCACCTGGAAGCTGCGCTGTGCTTTTCGCTGCCTGCAGCGTGGGTTGCAAAATCGAATTCCCCCTGGAGTTCTTTTTCTCCCCATCTCCCTTTTTCCTTTAAGAATTTTTTCTTTGTTTTTTTTTCTTCGAAAATTAACAAAATGATCAATCATCAGATTCATTTGGACAGCTAAATGAGAAGACAGGGAAAAAGTTATTCGTGAGGGAGATACACAGGCAGGAGTATAGAGCCTTCCAAATGTTAGGGTGCCTTTTAAAGCAACAATAACTAAGACAGAGAGGTTCACATGATACCGCCTCCCAGCTGCAAGGTGAACACGCCTGGGCGACGTCAGGTGCCACAGGGCGGCTGCAGCGAACAGGGCTGCGTGGGTTATTTGAAAGCTGATCCTGAAAGTTCTCATCACAAGGAAAAAATAGTCCTTTCTTTTTGTATCTATATGAAATGATGCATGTTAACTTATTATTGTAGTAATCATTTCACAGCATATGTAAGTGAAGTCAGTAAGCCATACACCTTCCACATAAACAGTACTGTGTGTTAGTCTTATCTCAATGAGGCCGGTGACCCGAGAAAAGTACGGAGCCAAAGGTTGAACGCAGCCCCATTGCAGAGATAAAACAATCTGCAACACAGAAAGCTTCCCACACACCCTGCCCAGACCTTTGTTTCCTTTAAGGCAACCTACCCCTCAGGCAGCACTTCCTGCACCGGCGGAGCGTTCTCTTCTGTGCGGCCCATTCCGGGGGCTCCCCGCCATTGCAATGGGGGCAGTAGGACTAACAAACGAAAATTTTAATTCTGCTTGATTTTAATTGGTTTCCCTTTAAATCGCCACGTGTGGTTTGTGGCTACCACACTGGGCAGGTGATACTAAGGCCAAACAGGCCTCAGCCAGTTCTCTTTATTTCCTAGAAAAGAGCTTTGATAATGGGACCACTCTTGGCTACAGTCTAAGTTCTCATCTCCAGGAGAGGTTCGGAGGGTTTTCCTTTTTATTGGTAGCTGCTCAAAGCTTCTTTGTGATTAAGGTGTGTTCTTGGCTTTCCCCCCTTTACTTGCTAGGAGAGGAATCAGCAAACTTTTTTCTATCAAGGGTCAGATGGCCGACATTTTCAGCTTTTCAGGCTGGACAGCTTCTGCCCCAGCCCGCTCAGCCCCGCAGTTGTAGCTAGAATGCAGCCAAGGGCCATATGTAAATAAGGGGAGTGGCTAAATGCTGATCAAGTTTTATTTGTGAAAACAAGTAGTGGGCCAGGTATGTCCCACGAGCTCTAGGTTGCTGTTCCCTGCTCTGGCATTTCTGAGCCAAAATGTCATACTTCTTGGGTGGATCTGGAACTGGGTGGTGTTATAAATCAAAATGTGAATAGCATTTGCTGGTTATAGCCCAATCCATTCATTGTGAGCTGGGGGTTGTTTTGGTGACAGAGAGGGTGCAGTTGTGAGGGGAGGAAAGAAGTCCCCGTGAAGTGTTGGGATCGGAGGAAGCTTGCTCCCGAGGCAGGCTCCAGACGGCCCACAGAGCCAGCTCCCAACACTAGGGGGCATGTGGGAGAAAAACATCCCAAAGTTCCACATATAAAGTGGATGGGGTGGGAAAGCCGGGGAAAGGCCCAGAGCCAATTCTAAAATCCCTTTGGACTTCAACACTCTTCTCCCCAGCTTACCTGCTGCTTCCACTTGACTGCTAATGTCTGGGTCTCAGCCAGCTCTGCAGAAAAAGTGCTGTGAACGATTAGCAAATTCTGCCACACACGGGCTCTGTAGATCGGGTATGAGAGCAGAAGTGCCACCTGCATCCCTCGCCCCATGGTCTGGCTTGAAAGCCGGGGCCATATCCTGGTATTAGGGAAGTAAGACTGACCCCATCCGTCCCAAGAGACTCACAACAAACGCCGGCCCCAAGGATGTTTTCCGACACCGGTCGAGCTCCTCTAGGCAGAGATCCGTGGTCATGTGGTCGGTGGCCTGCGTGTGCTGAATTCCCCACCTCAGATCAACCACCTGGAGATTACAAGTGTGGGTTGGTCAGGGGGTGGCAGGAGGGGTGACTCTTTCAATTCCCTTTGGCAAAGGCATCAAGTTTTCTTTCAATAATTTTTGACGGCCTCTCCCCAAAGCAGGATGTCTGGATTAAAAGAACTTGAATTTCGAGTCCCATAACCCTGGAGGAATCATGGGAAACGTAACTGGCAGATCCAGATTGGGGGCATCCTGCGGGGCGCCAGGCCAGTCCTCCCCAAGGCTGCGGAGGTCACGAGCAGCAGGGAAGGACCAAGGAGCCATCCCAGACTGGAAGAGCCTGGGGAGGCGTGACAACTAAAAGCCCCTGGGGTTCCATGGGCGGGGTTCCAGACCAGAGAGCACCGGCAACATCTGGGTAACATCAGGGGACTGGTTAATAATAACGTACCAGTGTCCCTTTCTTAGTTGTACAAATGCACCTGATAATGTGAGATGTTCACATTTGGGAAAAAACTGGGTGCAGGGTATATGGGAACCCTATACCATGTGCAAGTTTCCTGTAAATCTGAATTCCAAAATAACAGTTTACTTAAAAACATTAACCTGGCCAGGCAGCTCTGTGGGTTCAAGCATTGTGCCAATACGCCAAGGTTGTGGCGTCGATCCTTGGTCAGGGCACATACAAGAAACAACCAATAAATGCATAAATTAGTGAAACAACAAACTGATGTCTCCCTCTCTCTCTCTTCCTTAAATCAATCAATTTTTAAGAGCATTAAAAAAATTTTAAAGCCTTGGGCATTTTCAAACTGCTTCTTTTAAAGCGAGGATATGTCCACACTTCTTTGCAACGCTTTCTTTGCAAAGGAGATTGTTTAGTTTGGCCAAAATCAGAGAAGGCAAAGTCTCCTTGGCAACCGCACACTTGCGGTCCATTTTTGCCTGCTCGCTGGAGGGGGCCTCCGGCAGAACAGGCTCAATTCAAGCCGCTGGGCTGACCCTGTGCAAGGCTGGGCCAGCGTGGGGGGAGGGGAGGATGGGACTCAGAATAGTCCCTACCTCCCCAAATTCCCTTGCCCGGGGGAAACGCAGCTCCTAATGAACTGCAGCATAGGGTAAAGACTCCGGTGCTGAACGGGACTGGAGGAAGAAAGGGAGGAGGGAGAAGGGTCAGCCCTCAGTCTCGGGCAAGAGCCTTCCTCTCTCAGGGCCACGGTCTCCCGCCAACGAGTTGAGGCTGTTTACAGAGCATGCCGCACAGCCAGCCCCTGTGTGGACAGCAAAGGATGAGCACGGGTTTCATCAGTTCTCAGCGTGAAGGTTTTCCTTTTTTGTGCCTCTGCCCTGGAGCTGTGTCTCACGTTCAAAGGCCGGCAGAGTCAAATTTCCAGCACTGCTTTTTTCTTAGCAATATATCCTGCTATTTTCTTAGTAACAGATCAACGACCGTATGTCTTCCAGTTCAGGGACCTTCGAGGTGCTGGAATGCTGTCTTAAATGGCAAGGAGGCAGCATCCATTAAAGCTGAGACTCCAGAGACGGTTTGTCACTTTCCACATCAAACGTGTGGGCAGTGACATCCTCACCGAGGTTGGTGTGAGAGTGGCCAGAGACTCTGTTTGGGGTCGGTGACGGCTCTGCCCAGCAGGCACACCATCAACTCTCCAGAAGATGGTGCGTCCCGCCCCAGCGCCCTCCCGGCCTATCCCACAGCCCTCTTGGACTTCCCTGAAGCTGCCCCAGTGCAGCGAGGGCTAAGAGGGAAGGGAAAACAACATAAAAGTGACACGCCCAAGGAGCAGGGTCTCAAGGCGCCGGCTCCCAGCACTGGGTCACACCGCCTGTGCTAACCTCAGTGCCCGGAACCGTAATCCCTCCACCTGCCTTTTCAAAGCACTTCTTATCTCCCTCACCCACTGCCAGAGCCAGGTACAGAATTTGCAGGGTCTGCTGCAAAAAGAACATGTGGGTCTCTTGTTCAAAAATCATTATGAGTTTCAAGACTCAACAGGAGAGCAGTAAACAGAGCACAGAGCCTCTCTGTGAATGACTGCCTAGGTGGCGTGCCCTTGTTCCCGAATTTCCAGGCAGAGGAAACTGGGGCAGGGAGGAGTGGGCAGGTGATTACCTCAAACATCAGGCCGTGCTTTTGGCAGAAGGTCTGCACTTCGGGGTACGCGGTGCTCTGCAGAGCTTCTCTCTCTGCATCCATGTCTGCAAGGAATGGCATGGAAGGCGTTAAATGGGAAATCCCAGAGCTCTTCCCCGGCTCTACTTTTACCAAACGTTTTTATTTTTTTATTTCATTGAATTTTTTTCTTTTTAGGGAGAAAAAGAAAGGGAGAGACGGGGAGGGGGAGAGAGACAAAGAGAGAGAGAGAGAGGAATATCAATCCCCCCCCCCCGCTTACTTATGCATATATGTGCCCTGACTGGGGATCGAACCTGCAACCTCGATGTATTGGGATGACGCTCTAACCAACTGAGCTACTAGGCCAGGGCTGGCTCTGCTTTCAGCTTCATTTCTGCCTCCCTGCCTCCCTGCCTCCCTGCCCCTGCCCCTGCCCCTGCCCCCACCCCATCCAGGCTGGGGCCCTTCAGGGCAAATCAAAAGATTCAAAAACAGGAGGTAAACTGAAGGAGACCAACTACCTGGAGAGCTTGGACCTTCCCTAGGGTTAGCCCTAAAAATCACACATCCCAGAACCCTTTGCTCCCAGTTAATTGAGGTGGTTGGTTGCCTTGGGTTAGGGTTGCCAGATAAAATACAGGTTGCTTATTAGAATTTGCTTTTCAGATAAACAATGAATAACTTAATAGCATAAGTATATCCCATTCCACATACTATTTGGATAAATTTGCATTTGTAATAAACCCTGTTCAATTTGCACTTCAGATATCCAACCAGTAATTTGTTAGCATAAGTATGTTCTGTGCCAGGTGATGTTTGGACACCTTTGTGTATCTGATAAACCCAGTTCAGTTTGCATGTGACATAAACAACAAATCATTTATTAGCATAAGTATGTTTGTTCCATGCACTATTTGGGATATACTTATAGAAAAGTATATTTGTTCTTTATTTGAAATGAAATTTAACTGAGTGCCCTGGTTTTGTTGGGTTATTTATTTATTTTTTTGGCTAAATCTGGCAGCCCGACCCAGAGTAAACCTGGATTCTAACACCTTCTCCACCAGTGACTTCACTGTGGTGTCAAGTGCCAGGCTAGCCTCAGTTTCCACCTCTGTAAAAAGGGGTGACACCTCTGCAGGGCTCCCCAAAGTAAACAAAACGAAACAGAACAGAAAACCCCTTCTGGTCTCAGCCATTACTGATTTCTCAGCACTCAGCCCAGGTGCTCAATAAATGTTAGTAGAACCACTGTATCTTACGAGTAAAAGTACCTGGTGCAAGGTAGGTTTCGAAGAAATGTTTGTTTTCTCCACATGGCCTGGGGGAGGTCACGTTAGCGTCCATGAAAGGAATCCCAAAGCCACTGGTACAAAGAAACTGCCCCGTCCTGCCACAGGAGCTGACCCGGACGCCAGCCTGGGGCCTGTCCCTTCCCACGCCTGTCTCATAAATCCCAAGGGTAATTTACATTTGTCCACTAAATATCAGCTGGGGAATTAGTTTAGATCGAGTCGCTGCTTAGCTCAAAGGCACCACAGCAAATGGGACCTGTGTAAGTCATGCAGTAAAGCCAGAGCCGGCCCCGCTGGCGTGGCAGCACTGAGGGCCAAATCTTCAGGAATTCGGTGAGCCAGTGGCTGACACAGGCATTACGAAAAATTAAATGACCTGAACTTACAATGGAATACATCATAGCAAAAGCAGAGATCGCAAGCACTCAAAACTGGTCACTTCCACATCATTTTACCACATTTGGCCGTGAGCCCCGCCCTTGAGTTTGTTTACTGCTAGCTTCGGCAGCAGGAAAACCTGAGAGGATGGTGGGTTGTAGCCGCACAGCTCTGCGCCCCTGGGGCTTAGGAAGTCACCCTGGCAGTTTGAAATTGACCGCGTGGGAGGATTTACACCCCGGGAACTGACAGTACAAATCCAGCATTTTTTGCTTTTTGTTTCTTTACTTTATAATTTTTGAAGAAGAGATTATTAAGCATTTGCCAGCACACCACTCCATGCAGTTTTTGCCCTCGTGGCGCTTACTGCCTGTCGGGAAGAGCCAGGCATTAAGCAAACACGTAAATTAAATAGCTCCAGCTTTGGGGGCCTAGGGCTTCCTGGGCTTCAGGATCTGCTGGAGTCCAGTGTGACTACAAATGTGGGTGAGGAGAAGGTCACACGAGATAAAGTTAAGGAGGTGAGCAGTCGGTCATGCAGGACCTTGTCATCGCGGGAAGATTTGGGCACTTTCTAAGCCTGGTGCGCTGTGCATGCATCAGAATGTTAGCTGCAATATCATTTGCCACTGAAAGCAACTCTGTCAAGTCAGGCTCTCAGCTGGGATTATCAAAGAAGAGACAGAGGGTCTGGGATGCTCCCCTCTGCCCATTCCCACACGGGTCACTGGCAGGGTTGCTTTCACGTCTGCATCCCCCAGAGGACACCGTGAGCCACGCTCATTGCCCAGCGCCGCACCCCGCCAGCCCCCCGCTCTGCCCTGCCCCTTACCTGAGATGGTGGAGCTAATGAAGATGGCCACGCCGCTGGGCACGGGTTCTGGGAGGGGGCCTGCCTGGCCCTGCAGAAGCCGCCGACGGGTGTCTGGGCTGAGCGGGCCCAGGTTCATGCTGCCCACCCACCTGTACAATCTTTCCCGGGGATAGAGCCTGGTCTCAGACACCTCACACCAATGGCCGGAGGCCTTCCTGGGAAGCCTGCCAGGCAGGGCCCTCTAGAGAGGAGCGTCTGTCTCACCCTCCAAGGTCCCCTCGGTGACCTGCAGCCCTGTCCCCTCCAGCATTCCTGGGAAACTGAGCCCACAGCTCCCCACTGCTCTGCTTGGCCTACAAACGCTAAAGGGTGGGCATTGGATGGCGGCCTCCCAGCCGAGGCCCCGGGATGTTGGCTCTTCCAGGCACTGGAGCCTTTTGCCCCTCAACCAACCAGCTCCTCGCCCTGAGAGCTCTGCAGTCGCCACAGCAACTGTGGTTTCTTGACGCTTGGCATTGGGGCCCTGGGGCCAGCCAGCCTCTCGAACACCTGGGTCCCCTGGGGCTCCATGAAAGCTGAGCTTGGGCCCAGGTGTGCAGAGGGAGGCTGTGGGACACTGGGAGCCGCGCCTGGCCCCGGTGGGGCAAGCCAAAAGGACGAACACTTGGTGGAACTCCCCAGCCCATCCTGCGCTCACGGGCCCCTCCAACAAGGCCCAGGCACCACGTGTACTATTTAAACCAGCAGTTCTCAACTGGGGCCATTCTTCCCAGGGGACACTAGCAATGCCTGGAGACATTTTGGTTGCCATGACTGGGGGAGGGGAGCTATAGGCATCTAGTGGGTGGAGCCCAGGGATGTTGCGGAGCTCCCTGCAGTGCACGGGACAGCACCACCACATCTGTCCCCAAATGTGAGCAGTGAGGGGAGATTGAGAAACCAGCTCTCAGTGAACTCTAGTCAGATGTTTTTGCCTGCAGGTGGAGACCAGCTCTCTTTGACAGGAGGGAGGTTAGCAAGTCCCCAGGGACAGTTAGGAACCCACCCCCACCCCTCACTCTGAGACATGCTCTTTGAAACGGGCAAAAATTCCACTTGCAACAACATGAGTAGACCTTGAGGACATGGTGCTAAGTGAAATAAGTCCAACAGAAAAAGACATAGAACTGTATGATGTCACTTATCTGTAGACTCTAAAAAAGGCCAACTCTTAAAACCAGAGAGAAGAATGGCAGTTCCCAGGGGCTGGAGTTGGGGGAAATGGGGAGGTGTTGGTCAAAGGTTATAAATGTCCAATCACAGATGAATAAGTTCTGGAGATCCAACATACAGGGTGGTGATCGTAGTTAACAATACTCTTACATTACTTGACACTTGCTAAGAGAGTAGATCTTAAATGTTCTCACCACAAAAAAAGAAATGGTAATTATGTGATAGGAGTGTTAGTGAACCTAGGATGGTAACCATTTTGTAATTTATAAGTGCATCAACTCAACATGGTGTATACTTTAAACTTACATAATATGATAGGTTGATTATATCATGATAAAGCTGGGAAAAATAATAAAAAATATGGGCTGTCTGACCAGGGAAGGACCTCACGATTAGACCTATTGAAAGTGCCCTGGGGTTCTAAGTCCTGGCCACCCGCCTGTCACTGTTAATAAACCACAGACACCTCGATGTCCACGGGCCTGGCACGAACGCCGGCTCCTCCAACTGCCTTCCTGGAGGGCTCAAGCAAGTGGCCTCCCTCCCGGGACATCAGCTGCACCATCTGTGAATTGGGAGTGGGAGCCACTCAGGCGTGGGCCAGGGTGAGGAACGGGGGCACTTGCCTCGGGTGCAGCACACGAGGAAGCACGGTGTGCCTGGAAATCAAGATGAATGCCAAAATGTCTGCCTCCAGCAGAACGCGCCCAGGGCACTTGGGAGACAGGCATGTGAAGCCCCTCTCTACATGCGGGTGCTCCGTAAAGAGGGCTGTCAGTTCAACCGCGTAGTTCGAGCCTTTTTCTACCTTTCCTTCTCTGCCTCGACTTACCTTCCCTGCCTCGTCCACTCAGAAAAGACCCTGCTGTTCAGGTGTCCTCAAGACCACACTCAGTTTCGAGCTTCACTAGAACGACTCACAGGATTCGGAAAAGCTGTCCTACTCACCGTTAGTTTGTCCCCGTGAAAGGACACAGACTGACGGTGGTCGGCTTGGGGCAGAGGGTTTCAAGGCCTTGATTGGAAGGGAAACGTCCTTCTTATTATACAGATGCTCCTCGCCTTACAATGGGGTTAAATCCCAATAAACCCACAGTAAGTTGAGAATATTTTCAGTCAAAACGGCACTTACCACCACACTGTACAGTTCTGCCGTCTGCCCTCCTGGTGCCCTGGCGGGCTGGGAGCTGGGCTCTCCGCCACTGCCCAGGATCACGCGAGAGTTTCGTATCCCCTATCATTTGCCCAGGAAAAGGGCAAAATTCAGAATTCGAAGTACGGTTTCTACTGAATGTGTGTCACTTTTGCATTATGGTAAAGTCAAAAATGTGTTAAGTCAAACCATTGTAAGTCAGTCACCATCTGTATAAGTTTCTTTTCTTTTCCCTTTATCCTCACCCGAGGACACGCTCATTGAGCTTAAGGGGGGTGGTGTGGGTAGAGAAACATTGACGTGAGACTGAAACATCAGTTGGTTGCTTCCTGTATACTCCCTGACCTGGAATCGAACCTGCAACCCAGCCATGTGCCCCCATTATGAACTGAACCCACAGCCTTTCATGGTACAGAGTGACATTCCAACCAACTGAGCCACCTGGCTGGGCTGCATAAGTTTTTGTACAACTTAATATTGACCATTTAAAAGACTTTCTTTTCTTTTAAATGCTACTGAATAACAGAAGGGAAGCATTTTTGGTGGTCTTTCAGAGCTCCAAAATGCCTCTTTTAAATGAAACAGCTACACTCGATGTCTCTTTGATGTCCCCTTTCATTTGTAAATGTTTTATTGTTAAAACAGAGTTAGCTGAAAGGAAACCTTAAGTGTAAGATTATTCCAACACTGGTTTTATGAAAAAGATTAACAAGCAGGTTCTGCTTGCCATAGGGTAGTTAGTGAGGGCCTCTTTGAGAAGTTCGCACGTACAAAAGATACAGATTCAAATGAGCCAAGCCTTGGCCGTTGTGGCTCAGTTGGTTGGAGCATCGTCCCACAGACTAAAAGATCACAGGTTCTATTCCCAGTCAGGGCACATACCTAGGTTGCAGGTTCGGTCCCTAGTCCGGGCACATGCGAGAGGCAAGCAATCCATGTTTCTCTGCCACATCGATGTTTCACCCTCTCTCTCCCTCCCTTCCCCAAGGGAAGAGGTGCAGGGGGCGGCATCAGGGGAAGACCAAGCATGAGCTTCCAGTTGTCCCCTCCCCCTGGAGACAGTGGACAGTGTATCATTCTCATAGCAACCATGTGTGACAACATGCGTGATGTACTGCCAGCGCGGAAAACTCACCCGAGCCTGGGTGCCCAGGGCTTTGACTGGGTGTTGGTCATACAGACACGGCTGACCTCAGTCTTCAGCCCCTCCAGAGGTCCAGTTGATACCACGTGACCCAATATCCCTGTCATAAACCACAGTGTTAGCACAGATTATCTGGCAAAGGCCCTCTTATCAGTCCGGTCATTTTTACAGGACACCTCCCAGGAGCTGGGCAAAGGCCAGAACTTCCATGGGCGAGACCTGGTAAGTACTGTGATGCAGAGGTGACTGTCACCATTTTATGGATGAGGAAACAGGCTCAGAGTGAGAACTTTCTCACTAGCCTAGAAGCACCGAGTCAGGGAGCAAATACTGGTGTCCGGCTCCTCCAGGGACCCCCACAGCCAGCCTGGCCACCCAGTCACCTTCCCACAACCCACCCAGACCCTCTGGTTTAGCAACACCCTGCTGACCTCACCTAGGCCCCAGCTCTGGGCTCGAGTGTCTGTCTAGCCTTATCTTAGCCCCTCTTCATTGGTCTCCTGACTGTGAATTTGCCTCCCTTGAAATCTGTTCCTTTTCCCATGTCCCTGGGTCCCCAATATGCCCTTTGGATGTGACCCCCCCCCCTCCAGTGCATGGCCACGTTCCCTTGGTTACCACCATCTGGTGTTCATAGGAGGAGTAGAAGGCTTTAACCTTGACACCCACACAAGGCTTTCTTTCTATTCCTCCAGCCCAGACTTTTCTAATCTCGGCATGACTGGTGTTTGGGATTGGATCATTCTCGGCGGTGACAGCTGTCCTGTGCACTGTACGATGTTGAGGAGCATCCTTGCTTCAACCTACTGGATTCCAGGAGCAACCCTCTACCCCAGGTTGTGACAATCAAAACTATCTCCAAACATTGCCAATGTTTACAGGTGGGGGGTGCAGAACAATGCCTGGTTGAGAACGCCTGGTCTAACACAGCCAAGTATTTTAACCTCAGGGCCTTTGCATGTGCCATGAAGGCTCCATTCTTCTTCCTTTCATATCTTTCACATTTCAGCTTACACGCCACTTCCTGAGAGGCTCTCCTTTACCATCTCATGACTCAGTGACCTCCCAAGTAACTCTGACGCCGTCACCCTACTTAAGGAGGGTGGTACTCACCATCCGCTGATACTTCTTCTTTGTTTATTTAATGGTTGTCTCTCCCAAGGGAATGTGATTTCCACAAGTGAGGGATCTTGCCTGCCAAGGTTGGCATGCCGGGCACATAGTAGGTGCTCAGTAAATTGTTGTCACATCCACAGGCTCATCCACCACTGTCCATCTTTCTCAGCTCCTGTTTGCCACCGCAGACAGCTGAGCAGGACTGGACTCTCTGGGCGGGACTGAGGCCCTTGGCAGCGACTGGCTTCTGGTGTCCCTGGGGGCTCCAGCCTCCCTCCCACTCCTGCTGGTGGTGGCAGGACGAATTTAGAATCCTCTTGGGAAGTAGGTTGGAGGAGAAAGTTTCTGGGGCTCAGGGCTGGCCGGAAGGCAAGCCCCCAGCAATCCTAGTAACTTTTGTCTTAGGCACTCCACAGGTCTCTCCCTGCCAATTCCCCCAGCAACCAGGATAATGAAAGAAATTGTGTGGTTCTCAGGCCCCAGCTTCCCAGCTTTGCTGGGCACTTAGCCA